ATAACACTGGCTTAACGGGATCGAGTGGTCATTCTTGCCGACTTGGTTGATGTATGTATAAGATCGATGTTAATGATGCCGTCAATAGATGTTCCTGACGACTATTCAGACACCGGGGTGATATAGTTGGCATATTGCTGTGAACGGCGTGACACTTAACAAACAATAAACATATAACTGACTGACTGACTGAGTGACCGTATTTGGTTTTACGCCGCTTTTAGCAATATTCCAGCAACATCACGGCGGGGGACACCAGAAATGGGCTTCCGGGTCTTCGGCGTGACGAGCCAACGCTTAAACCACTAGGTCACCCCAACGCTCCATGTACATATAAAGTAGATACAGTAGGAAATATACATGTTGCGACAACAACCAACCCGAAACAACGAAGTAAACAAAGGGATAGATACGACTTTCCTTTATAAGGCGACAGTGTTTGAGTCTGAATGTTGATGCGATTCTGAGGTGTAGCTGTTACAGGTAGAGATTTCACTTACATGTTAATGCATGCAGCCAAGTGTTAAGAATAGCCATGAAATGACCCGGAGTCATGAATATAAATAAATGGAAGAAAGGCAATGAGGGCGGACAGAAAAGGCGCTTGGGGGATGGGACAGAAATGAGACAGAAGGCAGAAGAAGAGGGGTGAAATTAGAAAGAGAAGGTGGAAGAGAAGAGGGGTGAGGTACACATGAGGGACAGAAGGATTAAAAGAGGAGGGGTGAGGTAGGCATGAGCGAGAGAAGGCGGAAGAGCGCTGTGTTTTGTGGCGTTGAGTTGGGGTGACGAGCTAGTTGTATGTGTGGTAAAATGATATACTGAGGAAAAATGTGGGACACAGACGGTGCATGTTTGTATGTGTCCTTGTGTGTGTGTGTGTGTGTGTGTGTGTGTGTGTGTATGCGCGTTTTCGTATACATATTCAAGATCCAACACACATGTAGGACACGTGTATTGTCTGTGAATGTGTATGTGCGCGGACATGTGTAAATATGTGACCCCGAATATTCATAATGTCGAAATTTACATATATCCCTAACTATTTTTGTCCAGTATATTTGAATTTGTTTTTTTGTTTGCCGTTTAACGCCGCACTCACCAATATTCCAGCTATATGGCGGCGGTCTGTAAATAATCGAGTCTGGACCGGACAATCCAGTGATTGACATCATGAGATACGATGACATGTGTCAACCAAGTCAGCGAGCCTGACCACCCGATCCCGTCAGTCGCCTCTTCCGAAACGCCAGGGTTGCTGAAACCAATTCTATCCCGAATCTTCCCGGGTCAGAACTGTTTAAGTATGTATTACTCATATGTTGGTATACACACACACACAAAACGTGAAGCTTTCCTTCTCGCTGAGTTGACGCAGTCCACGTTCATAGGGTACAGTGAAATATGTAATATGCACAAAGACTTAGTTAATCACCACCTGACATATCTCACGATTGAATGGGCCCCGATCTTAACCCTTTGGAGTTGATTGGTAGTCGTGTGCATTTAAATGAGTAATTATCATCATAAAATCAACATGGATTGCAATCATTCTGCCTTTTTTATGAGTCAAAGGATCATACGGGTCAGAAAAACTCCATGTTTTTCCATCGTGGTCACTACGAGAAGTTTTATGTACGCGTTGAAAATCTGTCATTGCAAAATACAGGGGGTGTGTAATTAAGTTCGTTGTGTATATATAGTGTTCTTCATGTGCCGTTGATCAAGGAAGGCCCTGCTTGGTCGCGGTTTGTGACTGGTAGTCATAGTATAGATATAGCCCATGGCTAACTCGTGACCTGAAGACACCATCCCTCGCCGGTTTGGTTAGATATACTGTAGAGATATTTCGCGAGTATCCGAGAGATACCATCTGTCCAACAACGAGTTCTTTGGCTTCCGCTCGTCAGTTACGTGTCGATATGAGTTGTAAGATAAGTGGTATCTGACAGGCACGAGCGCAGTAATCTGCTGGTTATGCACCCTTCGAGTGCACAGTTTCAGCGTCAAATCAAATATTTTGTCTATTCTCATGGCCAAGTTGTGAGGCAGTAGATCCCAACAGTGTTTAAATCCTAAATACACTGCTTACATGGGCCAAACTGTTTCCTGTCCAAGAGCGCATGCATGTGTTCCTCGCCTCACTTTAGCAGTTAGGAAGAAGGGTAACAGTCTAGCATGAGGTGAAACAGAAGTTGAAATCATGAAAGGTTGCCATAGCTACCTTCAGAGCTTACTAGTAATCGAAAGGATGGATCGGACTTGCATTAGTTCTAAGAGAGTTTGTATGTTGGGTTTAACGTCGCTTTGGACAGAGAACCCGTTATAGGATTGCTTGAATTCAATGATTCGATTACAGACCAATTTGTGTTGCTTGAATAAGATCACCGGTCCGTTAGTGTTGCTTAAATTCGATCACAGGCCATTATAGTTACTTGAATTCGATCACAGGCCATTATAGTTACTCGAATTCGATCACAGGCCCATTCGTTTGCTTGATTACTTACAGGTTGACAGACCCGTGAAGATCCAAGTTAGAATTGATCCTGGGCTACGAGAGCCTATCAAAAGGTTTTTCTGTATAAGACAACGAAAATATATTATCCAAAACATCGCAACTACTGATGACCATGGCCATACATAGTTACTGAGAACATGCAAAAGTTACGTGGTTCAATATATAATGTTTCCCAATGTTTATTGCTCTCCTGAGTTCATGCCGCCATAGTCAAATTCTCTCAGTCAGCACCTTATATAACATTTCTTACAGATTGACAGACCCGTGAAGATCCAAGTTGGAATTGATCCTGGGCTACGAGAGCCTATCAAAAGGTTTTTGAGCCTAAAATACTTCTGATATGTGCATGATAAAAATAACTGCATGATATGACCTGCATGACCTCGTAAGGGTGGGAAAGCCAAATTAACTTGGTGCCCCTTGTGGCTGCAAGAGTTGCTCCTCAGGAGTTTAGATTGATGAAACGAAGTGCCGTTGAGATTGACATCCTGTAATAGATGGAAAAGACAAAGCGCCCGTGGGCATCTAGCTGGAACTCGGCGCTATATAAATAGATTATAATAATATAATAATATTGAAGAAATGTTTATATCATTCACATATACGTAATATTGACATGCACATGTCGCTAGTTTCCGGTCAGGTGACATCTGATTACATGTACCCCTATTGAAACAGCAGAAATGGATAAGCTTGAGTATAGAGCAGTCATAAAGTGTTTGGTCCTCGAGAGCCACCCGTCGAAGCACATTGAAGAGCGATTGATAGCAGTACGAGTACTGAGTCCCATGGTGTACTCGTACTGCTGTACCGATATATGATCTCTGACAACATGCCATCGTGTCCCAGTTGGGTAGATCGATGCTCATGATGTTGATCACTGGATTGTCTGATGCAGACTTGATTACTTACAGACCACCGCCATAAAGCTGGAATATTGCTGAGTAGGGTAATAAACAGTAAACTAATATGCTCGTTGACAAATAATTTGTTGGTGGCAGTAAATGAATGAAGCTCTCATACAATATCTTACAGGCCCACCTGCACAGTAAGTTCTCTTCCGTAGCAATAACAAATCGATGATGTGTTTTTCAGTCTTTATGCTTACATGATTATGAGATGATGCCCTGAATACGGGCCCTGAGCTGTGACAGATGGAGTCCAGGGCAATAGTTCCCCGTTTTCAGCTGCAGCCTACTCACCAGATGACAGTAGTTGGTATAGAGGTTTGAGGTTTATTTACCACGTTGATATCGGCCCTGCCACCATTGGACTAGACTGACTGGAGGCAGATTTACCCATATATTTTGTTTTCCTAAGGGACCGTTCATAATTTATGGCTTTGGGGTGGTGGGGTTGGGGAATGATGATGATGATGATGATGAAGATGATGAAGGAGAAGTTGATGATGACGACGACAATGACGACGACGCTGAGGATGATTTTAAGTGGGGGTGGGGGGTGCCACTCGTTTTGTTCTATTGGGGGTGGGGGTGGGGTATCACAGTGTCACATTGCATACACATGTGTTTCTCCATAAATGTCATCAACTTTGTAATTTCTGTATAATGACAAACAGTGACAGCGGGTGTAAGGGTGTAGCTTAACAGCCCTACCATTGACACATAAGTTAGACTTTCTGTAGTCTGTCAGTATCTCTTGAAGTAAACAGATGGGTGGGTATCAATAACACATGTGAGGTTGTAGGGTGGGACAATATGGTTCAGCAGCAACTGTGAGACAGAATTGACTGAATGGTGTCGAAATGTTATATAAGGTGCTAACTGAGAGAATTTGACTATGGCGGCATGAACTCAGGAGAGCAATAAACATTGGGAAACATTTAATATTGAACCACGTAACTTTTGCATGTTCTCAGTAACTATGTATGGCCATGGTCATCAGTAGTTGCGATGTTTTGGATAATATATTTTCGTTGTCTTATACAGAAAAACCTTTTGATAGGCTCTCGTAGCCCAGGATCAATTCTAACTTGGATCTTCACGGGTCTGTCAACCTGTAAGTAATCAAGCAAACGAATGGGCCTGTGATCGAATTCAACTAACACTAATGGCCTGTGATCGAATTCAAGTAACAATAATGGCCCGTAATAAAATTCAACTAACACTAATGGCCTGTGATCGTATTCAAGCAACACTAACGGGCCAGTGATCGAATTCAAGTAACAATAATACCATGCTTAGTACTTGCGCCTAGTCTGCTTACAAAAATCACTCGGGACCCAGTTTGTTTAAAAATAGTAAAATTGAAGAATTGATTTTGACTCCTACTTCGAAGTTATTTCATAATTCGAAATGACGACGTTAACGAAATCTTATAGATAAAGGTAAAAATCGATCGGAACCAACTGCAGTCATCTTTACATTCACCCTCCACATGTAGTGATTATGACACGTGTACCAAGAAAATTATTTTGTACAGGATGGTAAATATGTTTACCATTAAATTACCTCCCTTTGACAGTACAACAAGATGGCGGTAAATACGGATAAGAAACCTGCGCTTGTTATAATTTTCTGATGTATTCCTAAAATTTGTAACCAACAATGAGTCTATCGACACAACAGGCAGATGATGACAACCAGAATATTCTGATCGCAAAAGTTGACAATGCAAGGAATGTTTCAAGTATACTGAAAGCCATAAACTTCAAAGAAGTAAGTAAAATAATATATTTCATTATTTGATTTGAGAATGAACAAATCATGATCAAACCCTGCAACGACACTGTTTACCGGGCGCCGGTTATAGCTCTTACAAGTGAACCTACACCCTGTAGTAGTGAACCTTACTTGTTTAGATTTCAATAAGCCCCGCGTCGAGGAATACTCTGATCTTGTCAGCTAATCCAGGCAACTTTGTATCTATACCAAGGTGTCGATGAAGGACTTGCCTGGAATACGATTTTAGTTATCATGTTTATGTGAACCTCTTGCCAGGAAGCTAATGGGTTGATAAACTGGATCTCGCTTCACTGTTTCGAATGCCTTTTTTGATGTTCAGTTGTGTTGACAGATGTGTATACAATTGTCCACAAGCTGATATTTGACCCCGATGTCTCAGTCTCAGTAAGAATTTTCCAACCTAAAAGTGCCTCAGAAGTGGCATACCTGGTCAGGCAGTGTAATGTTATGTTTAATAACATGACATGATATCTAAAAACACCTGCATAAGTGACTACTGTTAAGCAGCCACACACACAGGGACAGTATTGCCATGTGCATGATATGGGTGAAATATTCTTGAACACAATGTTAATAATGCCTGTTTCACCTGACTTCACCTCACCCCTAGTACGATTTTCCAATTTATGGTAATGTAGGCATATTTTATGTAATGGTCTGGATCAAGGTTTTATATATGATATGAAGATGCTTAAGTGTTTAATTTTACATTGTTGCATCAATTTCAATGTTGTATATCTTTTATTCATAAATAGGAAGTTTATGAACATGATGAAAGTCATAATTCTGTACAAACTATTTTTTACTCTGTTTGGCATTTTAGAATGTGCTGAATGATAAGAAAGATATATACTTTATTAATGACAATGTTTTGGTGTGGTTTCAGTATAGATTCTTATATCATTGTCATTCTCGAATGAAATTGGTATAAGAATATATACCACAATATTATCTTCCATAATTGTCCTACCATGGGAATTAACTATTATTTCTTCATCCAAGATAATATCCTGATATTGGCCTAAACTTTCATGTAGGATGCTGTGTTTGTTTCAGACTGCCACAGTGTTTGCCAGTCCTATGGGTCTGAAGGTGACGGTGGAAGATGCAAAGTGTGTTCAAGCCAATGCATTCATACAAGAGGCAATTTTCCATGAATTTTCAATCAAGGAAGATCAAATTACATTCAAGATAAATTTGACAGTGTTATTAGTAAGTACAAAATACATTTTCTCTAATATCCAGTTATTAATTATGATATAAGAATAATGTAATTATTATGATCATGATAGTGGAATTTTACAGAAATATTATGTTTGATTGCTAGTTTTGGAGTGCACAGTTTCGTATTTTCATTTATAAATGTTGTCACCGCTGCCGATACGACATAGGTTTGACTGGGCACAGTACACGCAATAGCAGTTATGCTAAGCACATGGAAAATATGATTGTACTTGGTCTTTGTTCTGTGTTATGTGTAACTCAGGTGTCTCATAATGCTGGGGTCATCCATGATGACTGTAATCATGTTTATTATGTTTATTCATATTTTCCCTTGAATTCTGTACAGTATACAATTTCATTCCATGTCATACAGAAGTTTGTGGTAAGGTGATGTACAAGCCCACAACAGATACCCCAAAATTACTTTTACTGATTTGTTTCTAACCCTTTTTATTTCAAAATTGTATGTCATCAATTCCTGGTGGAAATTAATTTTGAAATTGACTAAAAAGGCTAATAGCTTTATTAGTACAACTGAATGTACCAATTATTTGCTTGAATTTAACAGTGGCAGAATTCATCTTTAAAGATAGCTTCAAAATCTCACCAGGTGACCTATATTTTAATTGCATCAAAGTGTGCTTGATGTTATTGCATTCTGGTCGCTGCCAAAATACCCCTCTTTACTTGGGACTACCATTGTCCACCTGCAGTAGCCTTAAATAATAAATTGTCTATTGGCATCATGTCCAATCCATTTGGTTTGAAACTTTGATACATTAACTTGGCACCACTTGCTGTGGTAACCATGGTAACAGACTGGCCAGTACTATTGGCATAAGGGACTTAACTATCAAGAGTATACCGGTATTGATGAGATGAAATGACATTAAAAATTGTGTTGTAATTCTTGAAATTGAATTGAATGCGATAGATTATGTTTTTTGTTTTCACAGGAATGTCTGACAATATTTGGCAGCAGCAACATCCCCGGTGTGACGACCAGTCTGAAGATGTGTTATGCTGGTTATGGCTGCCCCCTTGTGCTCATGTGAGTTTGATGTGAGTGTGACATGTGAGTTTGATATGAGCGGGACATGTGAGTGTAGTGTGACTGTGACAAGTGAGTGTAGTGTGACATGCAGAGATGCCAACCCATATGATTTTATCGTATTCGTTATGAAAAAAACAACACAGAATACGCGACTACGATAGCACAACCACATTTTATTCAGTATCAAGCTATATGTGGATACTTATTACTGATTTAGTTGAGTGTAACGTTAATAACAAGGCCTTGGACTATATATTTACATTTCTTATTCAATATGAAAATTCTTTGTTAAAGTTAATACAAATTTTGGACAACAATGCTAATTTTCACATCTGTTTTTGACCAAAATACTAATTGGGCTAAATTAGGGTTGGCATCTCTGTGACAGGTGAGTGTATGGCGTGAGAGTGGCATGTGAGTGTAGTGTGAGTGTTACATGCAAGTTTTATGTGAGTGTAATGTGTCACTTTGGTGTGAGTGACATGTGAGTTTGATTTAAGTGTGACGTGTGAGTGTAATGTGTGACTTTGATGAGAGTGTGCCATTTGAGTTTGATGTGAGTGTGATGTGTGAGTTTGATAAGTGGGTGTGACGTGTGAGATGCGAGTGTGACATGTGTGTTTGATGTGAGTGACATATGAGTGTAATGTGTGACTTGTGTGTTTGATGTGAGTGTGACATGTGAGTTATGTGTGACATGAGTTTGATGTGAGTGACATGTGAGTTTGATGTGTGACATGTGAGTGTGATGTGTTTGATATGAGTGTGAAATGTGAGTGTAATGTGTGACATGTGAGTTTGATGTGAGTGTGACATGTGAGTAATGTGTGACATGTGAGTTTGATGTGTGACATGTGAGTTTGATGTGTGAGTGACATGTGAGTTATGTGTGACATGAGTTTGATGTGAGTGACATGTGAGTTTGATGTGTGACATGTGAGTGTGATGTGTTTGATATGAGTGTGAAATGTGAGTTTGATGTGTGACATGTGAGTTTGATGTGAGTGACATGTGAGTGTAGTGTGAGTGTGATGTGTTTGATATGAGTGTGACATGTGAGTGTAATGTGTGACATGTGAGTGTAGTGTAAGTGTGACATGTGAGTTTGATGTGAGTGTGACATGTGAGTAATGTGTGACATGTGAGTTTGATGTGTGACATGTGAGTTTGATGTGTGAGTAGTGTGAGTGTGACGTGTTTGATATGAGTGTGACATGTGAGTAATGTGTGACATGTGAGTGTAGTGTAATGTGTGACATGTGAGTTTGATGTGAGTGTGACATGTGAGTTTGATGCCTCTTACGACAAGCATGGGTTACTGAAGGCCAATTTTAACAAACCTTCACGGGTGTGTGATGTGTGAGTTTGATATGGCGGTGTGACATGTGAGTTTGATGCGTGACAATTGAGTGTGACATGTGAATATGCTGGACAATTGAGTGTGACATGTGAATGTTATGCGAGTGTGAGTGTAACATGTGAGTTTGATGTGAGTGTGATGTGTGACATTTGAGTGTGATGCGAGTGTTATTTGAGTGTGAGTTTGATGTGTGATGTCTGAGTTTGATGTGTGACAATTGAGTGTGATGCAAGTGTGACATGTGGGTGTGACATGTAAGTGTGAGTTTGATGTGTCAGTGTAATGTGTTAGTTTGATGTGTGACATATGAGTGTAGTGTTAGTGTGACATGTGAGTTTGATGTGAGTGTAATGTGAGTGTGATGCCTCTTACGACAAGCTCGGGTTACTGAAAGCCAATTCTAACCCAGACCTTCAGGGGTCTGTGATGTGTGAGTTTGATATCTGGGTGTGAGATGTGAGTTTGATGTGTGAAATGTGTGATGCGAGTGTGACATGTGAGTGTGATGTGAGTGACACATGTGAGAGTGATATGAAAGTGATAAAGGTTGAAATGTATTCAAATATACCCACTCTCAAACTTAAAGCTCACATTCCTTAACTTACCAGTATGTTTGAAATATGTAAGCATATCTAGTCTTTGAGATTAACACATATTATTAACACATTTATTAAACAATAAATCAATCGGGGTCACTGAGCTAGATACTCATGATGATGATACTTGATTTTTCCAGTCTAGAGGAGGAGGGTGTTCTGACAGATTGCAGCATCAAGACCCTGGAGCCAGATGAAGTGCTGGACTTTGATTTCTGTAGTACCAATGTCATCAACAAGATCATCATGAAGGTACAAGGGGTGAAACAATACAACACATATTGCTGAAATATAGAAATACAGCGTGTAACATTTATGTTGTCTCTCATCTCCTTTTTAATTCATATAAAATATTTAAAGGTCACATGCAACCAAAATATCAAACATAATTAAAACACAATTATCACTTATTCATGACATATAATATACATGTACATTGTTGGTTATGAAAAAACATATAAACAAAATTATAAGCGTACAATCACAAATCAAAAGTGCAATATTGTGTACTTCGGTTTACTTCCCAAGAAACGAGGCAGCCGGGATACCGAACCCAGTCAGAGCGGGTAGGTGTGCACTCAAGTGTAACGGCTGGTTCATTTGCATATGCTTCCCTCACGGCTCATTGTGTGTGTATATATAGAGATGTTGGGTTTTGTAAATACATGCTCATTTTTTGTGTATAACATTTTGCAATCAACAGACATCATAACATGTCATGTGTTCAAGTATCACACCTACCTGTCTGTGTAATTACATAATGTGACAGAGACCGAACTCGGGCCATAAATCAATGCATTTTGTTTATGGTGTATAACCTGATTGTTGTTAAGTTCAAATTGCATGTGGTCAGTGATAGCAGCTGTGTATTGAATATTGTCATTAGCAGACAGGCAGGCAGACACACAGGTGTCAATAAAACAAGACATTGAGTTTAGTCTGTGACAACGACATAGTCACATATCTATATCACAGTTAGAAATTATGTCAACGCTAAATAATGACATTGCTTTTAAGTATCGAACTGAGAAAGTGACTCGGTAAGAAGAACGTGTGGTGAAATAGACAAATGAAATTATATAAACAGTTTATTTACTGTCATAACATATAAAAAGCTTGCACCGGTGAGACATGAACAAAACATTAGAAAAATAGCTCACACCAAAGCCTTCACCGAGTATTCACCAGACTACCCGCCCGAAGCTGCACCTAACTCCATTTCATTGCGCAGACGCTATGAGCGCAGCCCAGCTGTTGAAACCCGTTTTCCCCAGAAAAGTCGGGGGAAAATTAGTGAAACGTTTGAACTCCGATTTCGTGCGGGTGTTTTCATCGCGTTATTTTTCAACTTTATAAGTTGAATTTGCATTTTTGATGATTTGTTTCGGTAAGTCCATACCGAAAGGTATCAGAATCTGCAAAGTTGTGTTTTACGTTGCATGTGACCTTTAAGATAATTAACATGATTTGAACAAAATCCTGTTTTGATTGTTAAGATTTATTTCTTGGGTAAAAAAAATTCTAGAAATAAATTTTCACAATCAAAATTTGTAAAACACATGTGTCTAACTGAATGTATGGTTTTGATAATATTCTAAAGTACAAGGTCACAGTCAAGGTTATATCTGTGATTCTCTTTTGATTACTGGTAATACTTTGTCAAAGGTCAAGGTGACACTGAATGTGAACATTCTATTGTCCTTTCAGTCTGAGTGCGTCAGAGAAGTGTTCAGCGAGCTAGACATGAGCAGTGATGTTCTACAGATCCTCATGTCTCCAGACAAACCTTACTTTCAGCTGTCGACCTTTGGCAATGCTGGCAGTACTCATGTGAGTTTTCAAGATTAGTGTGCGGATATTCATATTTATGTACTCTGCCTGCAAATGTGGACATGTTTATGAAAGTGCTTGTGGTGTCTAATACTGGTATAAGTGCAGATATAGTTGATAAGTACAAGAAAACATTCAAGGTCAAAAGGTGAAGGTGACACTGAATGTGATATATCCATTGTCCATTGTCAGAGTGCGTCAGTGAGCTGGACATGAGCAGTGATGTAATACAGATCCTCGTGTCTCCAGACAAATCTATCTAATATAGTGATCTGCTTGTATGCATGAGTAACAGCTGGCAATAGCCTGGAGTTGTGAAGTCCATTGAGATGTCAATACTGAGTTTATCATAGATAAATCTGATAATTTTTGCGCTGTTGATGACAACCTCATGTTACACTGCCTCACGGAACATTGAAATTTAGTGCAAAAGACATGACTGCTTGGTATCATGAGCTACAAGTGAAATGCTAATATACTTCAGTATGTGACTTGGTTGTATTGTGAAACCCTGAGATACCCAGGTTTTTATTTTGTTTTTGGTATGAGCTGATGCCTCATTTTCAGTCTGCCTTTCCGAAAGACTCTGACATGGTGGAATCCTTCCAGTGTCAACAGACTCAAACCAACAGGTAAGATTTACACATGTTGCAGATTCAGTACAACGCAGGACTTCTGTTGTAGCAAAATATACAGTTTTGCAATGTCTGATGCAAATTTTGCAATGCCAACTATATGACCTGGACACATGTTGTGTTACACCAACTAATGAGAAACAATGCACTGCGTCTCTTTCTAAAGGAGTGATGTGCTATTTCAGTGCTATATTTTCAGACATGCATCAAATTGAAGTTCAGTAATCAATTTCTATTTCAGGGCAGTTGGGATGGAAGCCTTGCAATCAGTTTGTTATAGCTTTGTGTTATTTGTATAAATTTAGGGTGAAACGATTCAGTAAAGTGACAGTATAATGTGTATTGTGATTTGAAATTACATGAAAACCTTGACTATAAGTTTATCTGAGCAGGATCCAAAGAAAAACAGCTTAGACACTTAGACACATGTTAAAGTGACTATTTTTCCTTATCCTGACTCATGTATTATTGCTTGTCTCCTTCCTTTCGCGAACGTTAGTGGAACACTTGTATCTCCTTTTGAAGCTCCCTTTCAAAAGAGCAGATGTAAAATCACTACTCACCATGAGTTATGTCCCTCTGGTTTTGGCGGGAAAAACAGCCACCTGTCTTCCAACGCTTCACTCTCTCCTTCTTCGCCTCTAGTGGACGGTCTGGGAGAGCCTGTGTCTCCAATACGGCACTATATCCTTTGATTAATTAGTTATTTCCATATAATATACCTTTATAAGGCTTTAGGGAGTATCCTTCTACAATAAGGTTTGAAATTTATTTGTAATTTGACTGTTTATTCACGTGTTTTACGTGGATTGTTCAGTTGTTTACATTTCATGAAAACCTGTTTTCGTTGTAGGTTTAGGTTATCTGCTGCAGACCCGCGATTTACTGTGCCCCAGTTGTACAACAATATGCACTTCCAGCTCTCGCTGTAACTTATGTCAGCAATTAATACAAATTCAATTTAATAATTATCATTTCTCTGTACTTAGGTGCTAAGGATAAATCCTGTCGACTTTTACAAGTCATGGATAAACCGGCTGAGTCCATCCAGAGCTGTCCATCGTTGTCCGACGACATTCTACCATCCAGTGACCTGCCGGAGATGTCCTCGAAGATGGGCGTGGGACGCTGCCCGCCATTACAACGAAGAAAAGGTCTTCTACTTCGACAACTCCTCAACCCAGACGAAGAAGAAGAGGCCATCTTCAACGCAGAAAAAGCCTCACACCCCTAAGACTTCAAGCAGCTCTACGGGACTTCTTCGCAGAGATGACGAGGACCTTTATGGCGTCGAAATCGTCCCGATGGCAGAGAGAGGACTCTACGATGAACCGCTGTTGATCATCCCAGAGATACATCATAAGAAAAGGAAGCAGGCCTCAGCAACGGTTATGTCAGCAGCCTTATCTACGCAGTCCGAAGTCTACACTGACGGCAGACATCCATGAGGCACAGCGATCCCTGGACCATATCGCTACCATCGCAGAGACGACATCTCTACAATCGCCGCAGACATTCAACCCTGGGGCCTTCATGCAGCAATTCTCTCAACAGATGATGGAGATGATGGAGAAGCGCCGCCAAGCAGGAAAGAGCCTCACATGATGGACAGCCAGGCGGCTCTCCTGCTCAAGTCATCAACCTGAGAGAGGATCCAGACCTGCACGAACTAACCCCACACTGATGATACATCTGAGAGGCCCACCAGAGAATCTAGCTCTAGGACTAAGAGCAGATCTACGCTTACATGACGCCAGCAAACCTGCGGCGCAGGGACGCACGCTCTCTTCAGAACCAATGAGATCGCCTATCAGAGGATGAGACTAATAAAGAACCTTCACGCAGGCTACCCACTTCACAGAGAAGGAAACCTACACCACCTAGAAGGTCGAGAGAGACGCCTCGACTCAGACCCTCAACAGAATCTCTCACCCTGCTTGAAGGTCATCTACAATATCGTCAACAGGGTCAACAAGATCGTCAGGAAGGCAATCCAGGACTAAAAGACGCCACCTACACGCAGGTCGCCTTTACAGATCGCTCTCCTAGAACTACACTTAGTTCATCATGCTCATCCCCACGCAGGTCGCCACGTAGATCGCCACACAGGTCTCCACGCAGATCCCCAACTAAGGATGATCAACGATCTTATGCCAGTGAACATGATACAGACAATGGCGGTATCATATTTTCGGACTCAGAGATAAAATATTGGATGGCTAATGGACTGGACTTAGCGTCACCCTCTAAGGAAGAGAATGAGGCAGTCACGTACCTAATGAAGGATGATGATGTGGACACGATCACTCTACCACCAATTGATCCCATCTCGGAAGTACCGGAGGACTTAGACGCAGCCTTCAGGAAGGCAACGAGGTTCCAGGCTCCTAATATCCCACAGTTCAACGCAAAGAAGTTCTCACTACACAACATGGACCCCTTCATGAAGGTGCAAGAAATAGATGAGAACTACAAAATCATCAACGACTCGGACCAAATCTTACAAGATTGAGGACAAAAAAGCTGCCACAGATAGACACTATGACCAGAAGGATGTTCTTCGACTTAACAGATCCAGGGCAGTTAATGAGACGCCATCACCAAGTTTAAGAACTCTACTGCAGAGGAAGACCTGATGATTTATTCTGCCCTACTAACGCAGAAAAAGGACCACCAATTTATGTCGGTATCATCCATATCCATATCAGCAGCTGACGCTTAGCTAGAAGACAAGGACTATTGTCGTCATGCAACTGGAGCTAACGCTTCACTAAGACGCTGTACAGAGCTCCATGGTCTACAACATCCATCTTCGCAGGGGAGATTGACGAGGTCGCCAAGGAAGTCACAAAGGAATCGAGGGAGGTCTTGATGATAAAGTCCATCGATACACTAGCAAGTGTCATCAGGCAGACCTCCCTAACGCTACTCGGCAAATCCAAATTTGCAGGCATCCAAAAAGCAAGAGAAAAGAAATGGGACCTCCAAAGGAGGAAAGGACTTTTCACGCCCATCCGCAACTATAGAGGACGATCGGACGGGGCAGGGCACCCAGAAGCTATAGACGATGAAAGGCGGGTTCGGAACGACTGGAGTCTTCCATCCCCAGCCGTTCCTGTTCAACCTTTCCAAGTGGGTGGACGTCTACAACACTACTGGGAGAACTGGGGAATTTTTCAAGATCCTTTTGTATCCAACATCCTAAGAGACGGATATCACATACAACTACAAGCAGCCCCTCCACTAACAAACGCACCACAGAGGTTCAACTTTGCAACCCAGCGGACAGAGAGGCTACAAGAAGCGGTCACATCTCTACTAGAGAAGGACGCCATAGAAGTGATAAACCAGGACCAGATCTCACCAGGATTCTACTCCCCAGTTTTCCTCGTACCAAAGAAAAACTCCAAAGAAAAGTTCCGACTCATCTACAACATGAGGACATTCAACAGAGATTATCTATGCAAACCACAAAAGTTCAGCATGATTCATCTACCACAACTACTACATCTCGTCCGTCCGTTGGACCACATGGCCAGCATAGATCTACAGGACGCATACCTGCATATTCCTATACATCCGGAATCAAGGAAGTACCTGAGATTCGTACTAGACGGACGACACTACCAATGGAAAGTCCTGCCATTTGGAATATCATCGGCCCCCTGGTTGTTTACAAGAGTGACGAAGCCCATAGTCACATACCTACATCATCGAGGTCTACGCAGTGCGTTCTACCTAGACGACGGGATTCAAGCTCATCAAGATCCCAATCATCTCAGACTACAGCTGGACTTTACCATCAGGCTTCTCACACAACTAGGGTGGCTAGTGAATCTCCTCAAGTCGGAACTAGAGCCTACACAGGACCTGCAGTTCCTAGGAATTCGGCTCATCACAACAGAAAACCGCATAGCAGTACCAGAGGACCGTTGGCTAAAGATACAACAGATGGTATCGCAAGCTCTACTCTCTCCGTGGCCACTACGACAGTGGCAGAGCCTGTTGGGTCTCCTCACATCAGCACAGGATATGACGCGCAGAGGGAGATTACAACTACGCCCACTACAGGTCTTCGTGAATGTACATCTGGACGATCCGGATCCCTTCGACTCCCCGGACAGACTAAAACCATATCAACTATGGTAGACTCCAGAGATCGAATGTTTGCGGAGGCACCTACTTAGCAGAGCCAGAGTGCAAGACGATCTCTATGTGGACGATAGCTCCAAGGCTGGGGAGCACACCCGACAACGAAGTGTCAGCTGGGAAATGGACAATAGACGAGAAAGATCTGCACATCAACATGCTGGAAATGAAAGCAGTGATAAACGCCATACTCCACTGGACCAGCATTTTAAAGAATGCTCATCTAACAGTACACACGGACAACTCCACAGTGGCGTTCTACATAAACAGACAAGGATCAACCAGGTCGGTGAACCTTCTGAACCTCTGCTTTCAACTGTTCAGCATACTAGACAATCTGAACATCCACATAAAAGCATGCCAATCCAGGAGCCAAGAATGTGATAGCAGACGACTCTCGACCAACTCAACCATCCCCAACAGAATGAATGCTACATCCAGAGATCTTCAAACAGATCATACAAGAGATAGGAGCGCCACTAATAGACCTATTTGCCACAAGATTCAACAATCAACTGGTAACATTCGTCTCTCCAATACCAGATCCACGAGCATGGGCAACAGATGCTCTAAGCATCTCCTGGGAAGGACTAAACGCTCACGCGTTTCCACCACCAGCTCTAATACCGAAAGTGTTGCAGAAAATCATACAGACGAAGAACCTGCAACTGATTTTGGTCGCGCCTTACTGGCCAGCGAGAATATGGTTCCCCATTCTCATACAAGAACTAGGACCACCTCAACTGCAACTACCAGAGTGGACGAACTTGCTAGTACATCCACACACAAAGCAAGCACACGGCAACCCACAGGTGTTCCGGCTACACGCGTGGAGCGTATCAAGGCGTGCTTGAATAAGAGAGGATATTCCGCCAGAGCAGCGAAAGCAGTCACGCTAGCCTTACGCAAGTCAACACGCAACTTGTACAACGACAAGTGGCGAAGCTTCTGAGACCTACGCTTTGAAAACAGGCTTCACAGCCATAAAAGCGACACACCCTCAAGTGGCGGACTATCTTTGTCACCTAAGACAAACGAAGCGGTTGAAAGGGTCAACACTCTCAACATACCTAGCGGCATTGAGCTCAGTTATTACTATGAGGACGAGTGTAAAACTGACTAAGGTACCAGAGTTACTGGCCTTACTACGCTCTTTTAAACTGGAGGACCAACAACAGAGATTTAAAGCTCCGGCGTGGGACCTCAACATAGTTCTACGGCATCTCACCAGTGACGCTTACGAACCATTAGATAGGACATCTTTTGAGTTCTTGACGAGAAAACTCTATTCCTGATCGCCTTAGCAACAGCAGCAAGGATGTCGGAAATACATGCTCTAGACTTTGAGAGGACATGATTTGACGAAAATCAAACATCGTACATATGGGACTGAGATGGGACTTTATAGCAAAGAATCAACTGCCAGGTCAACCGGACAGACAATTCCACATCCCAGCGCTATCATCAGTCCTTGGGCCACAGGATACACAGGACCTTTCCTTATGCCCAGTAAGAGCATTGAAAGTCTACCTACAAAGGTCTAGAACAAGGAGACGAAAAATTCAAGCTCTTTTCATCCCTATATCGACAGCTTACACAGACAGAGATCTCTCGCGACTACGATATCATCAATATGGATGAGAACTGTCATACCACGGGCCTACAAAGCAGCAGGACTTGATCCTCCAAGAGCCTCCAACCCACATGAAATTAGAGCTCTGGCGCCAACACTCGCTCTACATGGGAATTGCTCTATCACCGACGATAATGGAGGGCTGCTTCTGGAAATCGGACATGGTGTTTGCCAACCACTACCTGAGAGACATCGCCACCGAGGACGTCTCTGGCATTCACCATTTTCGCCCACTTGTTGTAGCACAACAATTGACAGTCCCACAAAGGTGCTGAGACGGAGTCTTGCCCTTTTATCACATGACTTGCAAAAGCCTACACTCAGGAGAGTACAGCTTTAGAGTCCATATGCACGCCTAAGACAGACTAAGCATAAGTGATAAGACCCAGTACTTGTAAGGACGCATCAGACATAAAAGGGTCGCTTCTCCACTGATGCTTGCATCAAGAGATGGAGTTGCAAAATCCCCATAATAATGTTAACAGAAGCAAGGACCAAAAGTTAACAATTGTGGTCCCCCATCAGAGAAAGCTGGAAGTAAAGGGTTACAGCAGCAGCAGAGCCTAGCAGTAAATAGAAGTGCTACCAGGAAGTTCCCATAGGGGTATGCAGGACGTAAATCACTAATTGAATCCAGAAGTGGCTTGTCCCACCACCAGATCCGACGGATTCTACAAGCAATATTACATGAGTCAGGATAAGGAAAAATATGTAATTTTTTCTGAGTAAAATTGATATTTTATACTTATCCTGACTCATGAGGTAAGCTCCTCCCAACCTCCCCGCTAGGCACTTTGGATTTCCTGTAAAATTAAAGTGTCGGGCTAGCTATTCGAGAGAGTGAAGCTGGGAAGACAGGTGGCTTGTTTTCCCCGCCAATACCAGAGGGACACAACTCATGGTGAGTAGTGATTTTACGCCTGCTCTTTGAAATGGAGCTTCAAAAAGGAGATACAAGTGTTCCACTAACGCTCAGCGAAAGGAAGGAGACAAGCAATAATACATGAGTCAGGATAAGTATAAAATATCAATTTTACTCAGAAAATTACATATTTCTAGTACCAAACTATAGACACTAATTACAATTCCTTTTCAGGATATTTGACTGATGAAGAGCTGGGGATGGAGAGTGTTGATATGTATAGTGTTTCACCAAGTGTAATACAGGAACAGGATGAAAATAAAATATGTATCGTTTCACCAGTGTATCAGTTCACCCCTAGGACCAATGTTTGTTGCAGGTACAAGCTAGCTCTGCTCAAGCCAACAGTGAAAGCTCTGGCTCAGTCCACTCGGGTGTCCATCAGAACCGACAACAGAGGCTTCCTGTCTCTACAGTACATGATCAAGAATGAAGACAACCAAGTCTGTTTTGTGGAATTTTATGTGAGTGTAACAATTTGAAATATGGTGAATAATTTTACCTTGTTCATAACCGGCAACCCAGGAGAAAATTGAGGCAGACGGAGTGGCGTCCCTTTTGGCAGGCCAGGATCTGATGCGTCGCCAAAGTGGTGGCAACTTTTGTTGCTTTGGGCTTCATATATGGTCGTATACTTTCAATATTTGGTAGTACATGTGAGTGTAATGATTTGAAATATGGTGAATAACTTTTAACGGACAACTTATTTTCTTTTGCCCTGGTGACTCTGCAGTTTGCAGTGCAGAGTTCCATCCCTTTAGTATTCCAGAATCTGACGAGTAAAAAAAGAGGCGGCAAATGATTAAAACTTTTGTTGCTTTGATCTTTAGGATAGAATTGTATACTTTAATAGATGGTTGTTGATGTGATTGTAATGATTTGAAATGTTGTTGTTTTGATCTTTTGTGTAGGGTTATATCATTTCAATAGATGGTGGGTGGGGCGGTGGGGTAGCCTAAAGGTTAAAGCGTTTGCTCGTCACGCCGAAGACCCGGGTTCGAATCCCCACATGGGTACAATGTGTGAAGCCCATTTCTGGTGTCCCCCGCCGTGATGTTGCTGGAATATTGCTGAAAGCGGCATAAAACCAAACTCAGTCAGTCAGTCAATAGATGGTGACATTTTGTTTTCATTGCAGTGTGCCCCAGATGAAGAAATGGAGGAACCAGATCACTGACACAGGAATGTACATTGTATGTATGTGGGATTGTGAGATGTCAACAAGTCTTGTTCTTGGATATGACTGAGTGATGAGGATGACTTTCAGGACCAATGGAGAACTGTTATCAGTCTTCTTGAAGGCCCAGCCAGATGTGTGCATGTCCAGTAATTTCACATTACAATCATCGATCAGAAGCTGTCATCATCTCATCAACATCCTTAACATCACTGATGCCTGGGTGCATGCACTGGCAGGCTGGTCAAGGAGCATTACAAGACGGAGACATTACGTGGTGTGTGACATCCCTATACCTCCTGGGCTCGCACTTCGGTAAACCTAGTCATCATTGGATCCTTTTCTATGATTCTTGTGGTTTGCAAATTTCCTGCCGTTCATCTTCTTTAACGTTTTACTGATCCTTTGTTTTCTTGAAGGAAAGTGTAAGGGAGGTAACTTGTGTTACCTAGAAACCAAAGCTACCACCAGTTTTGATTGACATGAAGACATCATTTCCATGATGAAGATTTTTGAGAACTTTCTTTGCATGTCAGTCAGTTTTTTAAGATTGAATTCTCACTAACTTGATCATACTCAATGGAACTTGGAACCCAAGATTGAGGAGCTTTTGTAAGTCCCATGCTGATGGGTACCTCCCAATTTCATTGGTTCATTAGACCTGGTTGTATAGCCAATCAAACTGACAAATTGAAAACAAGGGCAGGACCATGCAAATGGATCAAGTGGTGGATATAGGTTTACTCCGGGCCCAGGATGGGTGTGTGATTATGAGATATTTTTATTTTTCATAAATAGTCATACTTCAGAGTGTGTTTGTCTTTTTTGTTTGGTGCAACATGGTGCATGTTACAATATTTCGAAGCTGGAAGTGTGTTGAATCAAAAGCAAGTGGATTCTTACAAGGATGTTGTTTGGTGCCAAAAGCTGTCATCTTTACTACTGACAAGCAAGTTGCTACTGACTGCTGTGTTTTGGTTATTGTTTTAATCGTGTCCTGTGAGGAAGACCTGACTACATGTTTTAAAATGTGGTTGAGGAATTAGCTTACAGTGTGGAAGTGTTTTAGTGATAGACAGATGAGGAGGATATGAAACCAGAAAGGTGTTTACCTCATGTCCAAAGAAGGGGTGGTGGGGCAGCCTAGTGATTGAAGTGTTGACTCGTCATGCCGAAGACCTGGGTTTGATTCCCCTCACGGGTACAATGTGCGAAGCCCATTTCTGGTGTCTTCTGCCGTGATATTGCTGGAATATTGCTAAAAGCGGCATAAAAACATACTCACGCATAGTCATATGCAAAAGCAGAACGGCCACGGAAGTGTAGGTGATAGATGGGAGTTAGTAGCGATTACTGTTTTACACCACTTATAGTAATATTCCTGCAATCTCTTGGCAGGGGATATCATCAATGGGCTTCACACATGGTTACCCCACCAGCCCTGATAGAGGGGAAAATCAGACGATCAATCCCCAGACTGCATCTGCAAAAACCTTAAGAGATTGTACTTACTCAAACACATGGGCTGATAAAAGGACAGAGGTCTTACTTGTGTTCAGCCTTCACGGAAGTAAGGTTGTGGTCGAAGTAACAATAATATTGTAAGTAGTATTATATTGACCCACCTCGCTGCCACGAGAGAAATTGTTATGATATACGTTATGTCATGCAAAAATCCTATTATTATCAATAAAATACATATTTTATTACCAGTAGAAAGTAGTTTTGATTTTAGACTCGGTGAAAAACAAACCTAAATACCATTTATCCTCAGACTGGCGGATGTTCCCGACAGGGCGCCGCCATTTTTAAAAATAAAAAATCTGTTAGAATAATGAGATTATATAGTTTGTTTTCATCAAGTTAGAAAATCAAGACTACTTTCTACTCGTTGTTAAATATGTATTGGAATCATAACCAAACGGATTTTGCATGACACAACTTATAACATAACGATTTCTTCCACGGAAGCGAGGTGGGGTCGAAGTCACAATACTGCGCGATAAATTTCTTTGCTACATTCCCATGGTTAATGTCCACTCACCAGTATGTAGATACTAGTCAATAAAAATGCGTCTTTATATTTGGTCTTATAATCCTAATTAGTTTATTATCACACTTGTATGCATTTTGAAACTAAATAAAAAGCAGACGATCTGCTGATACTTATAGTGAATTTATAACAGAACTGTAATATCTAGACATTTTATAGTTTGCCAATGTGAATCATAATTCGCACACACACCCTAGTGCATGTTGTCTGTCTCATTACACTTCACGGAGAAAACAATGATTCTGTTGAATGCTACGACAAATGAATAAAAACAAAATGCAAATATTAAAATTAAAACAGATTAAAGTTATAGGAACAATATCAGGCCATTACCTTGTTCGAGGAATGTATCCATCAATATCCACAAAACTGTTCCAAATGATGTGTCTTTTAACAGTTTAATATACGAAAAAGTGATAAATCTTTTCAGGTATTGGTGTATAGTCTCATTGGTCACCCAAGATAGCACACCTGGCAACTAATTGCATAATGTCCGCCTTTCTTTAAAAACAGTAATTTAGTTAGCCAATAATGGGCAATCAATCAATGTATTGGCGGTTAATCCTTTGAAAGAAGGACGTTGTTTTTTACGCAGACACCGACACGACAGAGTGTATTCAGTATAGATTAGTAAATCTACATACATAAACACTACCTTTGACAATTCCGCTGTGTAAGATAAAAGTAATTAATCAATCAGCGTGTTATCGGTTAATCCTTTGATCGATGTTTATAATGTTGAATATTTACTCCAGACACAAGAAATGCCAAATGGGAACCTTTGTCGGGTAATCTAAGTGTGTTACCACTAATTATACCTGTTATAAATTCATTAAGTGACCATCAAGTGAATGATGACAAATAACATGTGTAGGTTTATACCACCTAACACGGGTTACAACGAGGGAGTATTAATTGGTGTATTGCATGTGAAAACTTATGGGCCGACACTGTTTTGAGAATACAAACAGATTTTTACGACATGATTAAATATCGAGGTAAAACAACACAGAAATGGTTAAGAGCACTTCTGGTTGAACCACCTTGACCTTCAATATCAGACGAGACAGACAGTCATTAATTATAGCTGGTACCAAAATGTTATGATCTTTCATGAAATGGATAAATCAATGCAAACGCTTCGTATATTTTTAGCTCTTTCGTAATGTGACACCCAGTGATCTTTACCTAATAGCAATGATCATCTAAAATAGCCCCTGAAAAGGTCATGTATACTAACTTTCAAGGAATGGAATCAAATACACGCAAGCTATGGCATACATATTTTTTTCCTAAGTTCTTACTGAATGACCAGGATTTTCAATGTCATTCTCTCATATCATATAAAGTCCCCACGAGTACTTAACACCTGCCCAAAAGATGTTTGATGGAAACAAGTGCAGAGCTGGCCGAGGAGCCTGACATTCTTTATTATTATAGGATACTTATATAGCGTACATATTCAGGCAACTAGTACACGTGTGCTCAATGCGCTGGAGGGTTCCCTTGATCAACAGATGTCTCCTTTCTGGCACTCTTTTTTAACCATCTCAGCTCCCTGGGGAGTATTCAACTCATGCAGCCAGTTTGGCGCAGCGAGTTATCACACAGCCTCATCCTCACAAGGTACCCATTTGCACCCCAGTGGGCGAACTGGAACACATAGTCACAGTATTTTGTCCAATGATACTGCACGTTACTATACCCGCAACTAGGTGGCTCCACGTGTTCGTGTGTCCACCATCTGGTCACCTACCTTTGGATGGGTGCTTTTCAGTGCACAGGGTTGTGTACTACTCACTAGGGGTTGTGGCAACACTGAAAGAGCCTGCAAGTAATGTTAGCTCCAAGGTTTTTACACCCGGTCACAAGTGGGGATCGAGCTAGGCACCATGCGCTTACTAGCACGGCACCTTACACAGCTTGCCCCCCTAAACATTCGGATCAAACACGTCAACTCTTAACTGCACATCTTACTGGGGACATGTGCTAACACAGTACCCAAGTATGACAACAAAAAGAGTTCGGAATAATGCCTCAGAAATTCAGAACAATTGGTGTATCTCTTTGACACGGTGACAAACTTCTATGATACCTAAAGCAATGATGAGTGATGTGACGTTAGTTGTGTGATTACTTACAGTAGGCCAAATTTCCGGATTCAGAGCTCAACAAGAATGTCATCATGATGCTTCAACCGTCCAGCATTGTTCCTTTGAGAAAATAACAGGCATTATAATGCCACCCAACTGTATAAATAAAAGAGTAATGAAAAGAATCAAATTTTTTATGGATCTGGACATCAGTTTTATTTGGATGGTAAGAACGGTCCACTTGCTGGATCTGGACATCGGTTTTATTTGGATGGTAAGAACGGTCCACTTGCTGGATCTGGACATCGGTTTTATTTGGATGGTAAGAACGGTCCACTTGCTGGATCTGGACATCAGTTTTATTTGGATGGTAAGAACGGTCCACTTGCTGGATCTGGACATCGGTTTTATTTGGATGGTAAGAACGGTCCACTTGTTGGAATAGCAGTATAAGATGCACATTTGGCTTGAAAAAGCCAAATCAGTATTTGCCATGAAAATAAACAACAAACAACCCGCATTGAAAAAAGTCTTTCTATGACACCCTAACTCGCATTCATTTTTTATCATTTAAATACAAAATAAAACCGTGCTTCAGATGTCCGCAAACGTATGCGACAATGCTGTATAACAATGAGCTAAATTTCCATATCATCTTCGCTAGATGGACACGAGCTTGCTACCCAGTGAATGCGAATGAAACTGGATGGTCACTTACATTTTTAAATGCCATGGCACGTAATTTCAACTCTCTCTTTTTTAAAAAAAAAGAAGAATATTTTGAGAAAAGGTGTCTTGAAAATACCTTAACATTTTAGGCTAAATCGGTAATAATCTCTCCTCACCAGCATGTTTATAATTCTCAAATAAATGGCCACCTAAGGCAATAGCAAATGAAGCGAAATTGTCGAAACGCTATTAAATGCACTTTCAAAAATTCGTACACAAAACCATCCGGAAAGATCCGGGTTAGAATTGGCCTTCAGTAACCAGTGCTTGTCATAAGAGGCGACTAACCGGATCGAGTGGTCAGGCTCGCTGACTTGGTTGACACATGTCATCGGTTCCCAATTGCGCAGATCAATGCTCATGCTGTTGATCACTGGATTGTCTGGTCACTCGATTATTTACAGCGCCATACAGCTGGAATATTGCTGAGTGTGGCGTAAAACTAAACTCACTCGTACACAAAACGGAGCCATTGTTGTATGACATTTGAACAAATCTCCATTAATAAATGCGCGCATGCAGGAAGTTGTCGATACTTTTGAAACAAAACATAGCTTCAAAATGTTATGATATATTAGTTGTTTAAATTTTCATAAGTGAAATGTTTAGGAGATAAACATACTGTGTTGGAAATTCAGAGGTCAATGAACGAAATGAATAGCTCTAAATTTGATGAACATAGAGATTTCTTTCTGGGTTACGTACATCTTTTTATTCTTGAGTACGTTTCGGGGCTTGTGGCCCCATCATCAGGTAATATTGAACAGTAACTGTTAACTGCCCGATATAACAGTTACTGTTCAATTTAACCTGATGATGGGGCCACAACAAGCCCTGAAACGCTGTACTCAAGAATAAAAAGAAGATGTAACCCAGAAAATATCTCTATGTTCATCAAATAGCATCTTCCAAAATGCTAATCAAGCATCTAGCTCTAAATTTGATTTAAAACATGACTGGGGTCCTGACTTGCGCAGAGCAGGAAGAAAATTAGTCAGAGCGTATGACGGTCTCGCGAGGTTTATGATGTCACCATGACGACAGTTTCACTTCTGATCTCGCCATCTTGTTGTGATTATCATACTGCTATAACTTTGCTGCTTTTCTGACGCTGTTTGCTGATAGTTCGCTCATCGTCGTCTCTAAACATCATGAGCTCCTACGCCCAAGGTATGTCTTTATTCCTGAATTTGTTATTTTGTCTGCTTTTCTTTCTTTAATGATCTATTTACTTAATTCAATCTGAACTTCGCCTATGGAAAAGAAACTTCCTGAACATATTGCCATCAACGATGATCATTTGTCCAGTTTCGAGATCTTTTTCACTAAAACCGGATTTTCAATAGTTTTACTGACCTCTTAAGCTTTATTTTTTCAGGTTTTTCTTTTAATTTTAAATAATTAACTAGGTTCTACAGATGGTCTGTCTCTGATTATGTCTCAGGTCCTTATCAATATACTCAGATTTACAATTAAGACTCACCGATTATTTTGTCTTGTTTGTGGTTTAATTAGCCCGCCAGTGCCGCTTACATTCTCAGCGATTCGTTTATCTTATGATAAAATAAGTCACTTGGCTTTCGGTCGTATCACCAGTATTGTTTTGTAAACGTTAAGTACTATAGGACCTCTTTGAGTGGCATTTTATAAACTGGGAAGTACAAAATAGACAAACTTTAATAACAAATTCTTTATTACGAGAGTGCAACGTTTCGATATAGATTCTAGTACCCCTGTCAACATTTCCCTGCTTGACAGTGGTACTAGAATCTGTGACGCATTCTCGTAATGAAGACGTTGTTATCCATAAAGTTTGTCAATTTTGTTACTTGGACCGTGTCAGTACTATAGTCTTTGCTCCATCATTTATGTTAATTATAATATCAGATTATGAAAGAAACATGCCAGTTTTACTAGTCTGTACCCTGTAGCATTGTGAACACAGTGGTTTGGCCGAGTAGCTGTTCTGTGACTATATATATAGTATATCTTAACAAAAAATTGAAGAGCTTAAAGACATCAGCACTTATATTATCACTGATTATGTACACAAGCTAGTACGTATTGTTCAGTCATACGAATACACATTATATTTACTTTCTGCTTTCAACCCAAGTAAGCAATTCCTCACAAATATTGTATATATAAATCACATACCTTAAATTTTTCTCTGGTAGCTCCAAATGTTTACCTCAGAGAACACGGAGGCAGCGTTTTCAGCCAAGGTTTTTGTACAGTTAGGTTATTCAACCTCACCAGTGACCTTATATGATCACCCCCTTTCATATTCTTGTGTGTAATGTTTTAACTGACTCCATTACAGTGGCTCAACACAATTATTGTAAATGTGGCTGTTATGTGTTGATTTTTAGTTATTTTTTTGTTGCAAAAATACAAGATACAACTGTTTAGGCGAACCCCTTATTCTTATGCCCTTTTTACTGGACAGCTGTTGACCTTGTGATCATGTTCCCCTTGAACTTTGACATCTGGGCCCCTCCTCGCCAAGTGGGTGTTATGCTAATCAGTTATTTACTTAAGTAAATTGTTTGTATGGAATTTCATGAGTGTTACTGTGTACATGTAGGTAACCATGTAATCTATAAGTAACCATGTACTACTGACTTGCAAACTAATATATATATGCATTAACAAAAATCATACCTTAATCACTAACATTTCTCTAACATCATGAGGATTCCTTAATCATTTCAAACAAATAGTCACCACTTTCACTACTTCCACCTTCTGTCACTCTCTACTTGTCCTTCTCTCCCTCCCTGTCAGCGTCCTACTGGGAGATACATGACCATCCTTGAACCCCTGTCTCAGCTGCCCACCCCTCCCACCTCTCTCCCTGCCCCTCTCTCTACCTCCGTCCTCCGTGATGCCCCCAACTTCGTTGACATCAACCTTGATGATGACGACACCCCGACCCAGTCCCCAGTTCGAATCTTCCTGTCACGTGTGTCTGGATTCTTGGGGAGAGTGTTCCGTGTAAAGATGGACGCTTAAAGTGACATCTTGCAATTATTTGGATTCTTGAGGAGTGTGTTTAAGATGGACGCTTAGAGTGACATCTTGCAATTATTTGGATTCTTGAGGAGTGTGTTTAAGATGGACGCTTAGAGTGACATCTTGTGATTGTTTGGATTCTTGAGGAGTGTGTTTAAGATGGACGCTTAGAGTGACATCTTGTGATTGTTTGGATTCTTGAGGAGTGTGTTTAAGATGGACGCTGAGAGTGACATCTTGTGATTGTTTGGATTCTTGAGGGGTGTGTTTAAGATGGACGCTAAGAGTGACATCTTGTAATTGTTTGGATTCTTGAGGAGTGTGTTTACGATGGACGCTTAGATTGACATCTTGCAATTATTTGGATTCTTGAGGAGTGTGTTTAAGATGGACGCTTAGAGTGACATCTTGCAATTATTTGGATTCTTGAGGAGTGTGTTTAAGATGGACGCTTAGAGTGACATCTTGTGATTGTTTGGATTCTTGAGGAGTGTGTTTAAGATGGACGCTGAGAGTGACATCTTGAGATTGTTTGGATTTTTGAGGAGTGTGTTTAAGATGAACGCTGAGAGTGACATCTTGTGATTGTTTGGATTCTTGAGGAGCGTGTTTAAGATGGACGCTGAGAGCGACATCTTGCAATTGTTTGGATTCTTGAGGAGTGTGTTTACGATGGATGCTTAGTAAGAGTGACATCTTGTAATTGTTTGGATTCTTGAGGAGTGTGTTTAAGATGGACGCTTAGAGTGACATCTTTGGATTGTTTGGATTCTTGTGGAGTGTGTTTAAGATGGACGCTTAGAGTGACATCTTGTGATGGTTTGGATTCTTGAGGAGTGTGTTTAAGATGGACGCTGAGAGTGACATCTTAGAATTGTTTGCATTCTTGAGGAATGTGTTTAAGATGGACGCTAAGAGTGATTCTTGTAATATTTTGTATTCTTGAGGAGAGTGTTCAAGATGGATGCTTTATTTTAGAGTGACATCTTGAAATTGTTTGTATTCTTGAGGAGACTGTATCAAGATGGACACTTCCACCTTGGAAGCTGGGTCATATAATAATTAATTGTATTGAATCCTAAGTACAATATGTTTGGTGACTTCTACGTTTTTTGGACCTTTCGGACGTTTTTTCGGACCTTTCGGACATTTAGTGGTTTTGGATTATTCGTAGATAAACGCTTTTTGTATCATAAAGTTTATATTTCCTTGCTCATTTTGGCTTTTTTCGGTCAAGATTTGATATTTTTAAAATATATTTTTATTCGACACTTACCAGATTTAACTATTAAATATTGCTTTTACTTTCTACCGGATTTGTGTTTTCTTTTGTTATCTAACTGAATTCGAGATGAGTTTTGTCGATGAACTAATGAAATATAATTTGATCACATGCGTACAGAAATGACAGACATAATAAAGAAACCACCCCCTCGGGAGCCCCCTTTTCATGTTGCATGAAAGGCGAGAGCACCACTTTGGTGCACAAACTTAAACCAATGTGAATTCAAGATTCGAACTATCATCTGGTAGTGATTGTCGTAAGAGGCGACTAACAGGATCAGATGGTTAGGCTCACTCACTTGGCCGACTCATGTCATCGCATCCCAGTGGGGTAGGTCGATACTCATGCTGTTAGTCACTGGATTGCCTGGTCCAGGCCCGATTATTTACAGATCGCAGCTCTATAGCTGTATATTTTGAGTGCAGCGTAAAACAACAAACAAACAACAACAAGGGTGAATGTGTGTGAGTATAGTTACATATATTGCAGCACAATTACACGCGAAATGGGCCTCACACACTGAACCCGGGTCTTCAGTGTGGCGCTCGAACACTATAAAGACTAGGCCACCCCACCGACCCCTGCTAGGTTAACCAATGCCACTGCACCACTACCATAAATCCCGTGGTCACCTGTTCACCTATCACATAACCGAACTGTAGTCCTACAATCTGAGTATTTGGTCCTATGTCCTAGATGCACTTACTGTCCTAGACTTCCTCTGTAACTGGGACACACAGACACCTCGACGGGCCATCATCGTTCTGCCTACGTGTTAGAGAGTGAGTGTGGTTTATCCCCCTTTTAGAGATATTGGTACCACAGGAAGATGGATTCGAATACAATACTGACGGTGGCCGATGCTGTATTCTCCCTTGAATATGTATATGTCTGTGTGTGAGTCAGTATTTTGCATTGATGACTGGCCCAGTGAAAACGTCATTTGCCTGCCTCAGCAACGACCCATCATGGCCATGACGTCAGAGCAGGGTGGCGCGTGGCATCTGAAGTCTACCCTACAGTCTTTTAGTAGATTTTGTCACCGGGGTTCTTAAGTTTTATTCCTGCACGATTCCGTTTTGCTGAGGTAGTCGCGGAACCACAGTTATTAAAACACCTATACATATATAGATGACAACTTAGATAAGTACATTCATACATTGTTCCCTCAGCATGCCAATAGCTATATCTATGTTGGATAAAAAACATGTCATGGGTGAAAGGACCCATGAAGATCCGGGTTAGAATTGATATTCAGTAACCCATGCTTGTGGTACTAGGCGACTAGCGGGATCGGGTGGTCAGGCTCGCTAACTTGCTTGTCACATGTCATCGTATCCCAATTGCGTAGATTGATACTCACGCTGTTGTTCACTGGATTGTCTGTTCCAGATTCGATTATTTACAGACTGCCGCCAAAAAGCTGAGTGCGGCATAAAATTTAACTCACTAACTCCTGGGTCAAAGTGTGCGTTAAATGTATAAAAAAATTCGATGATTTTTTTCATATATTTCCAGTTTCCAAAGAGAGATCATGGAAGGGACAGTGTTTACAGTACTTTAAGTTTCATATACTGGATAAAGCAGGACTCCAGAAGTCATATATCTCGAGTGACAGTGATTCATAGACACTTATGATATAGTCGGGAACATGCAAGTGACCTTGCTTTGATCAGAGATTTTTATGAGGTTTTTTCTTTTCTGTCCACAGGTTGGAGATAGGTAGCCCTCCACTCACGTAGAGACTTATCATGACCAGTCATCGTCAAAGCGAACCTCTCCAGTTGATGTGTGTCGCGCCTGTCTGAACATGTATCACTGAAATGTACTAAAATATGTGGAAACGTAGCTGATGTTACATCTTGGCTCTGTAAAAACTGTTTTGGTGTAACTACCACTTGTATGAGTGAGTTAATTGGGTCGAACCCCCATTTGTGTTTGTGTGTGGGTTTGTCGGCGGAGAAAAGGACACGTACTGTCACACCTTCAGTGTGGGGAGCCCAGCATTCACTTTTTGACTCACGGAACTCAGTACTCCAGATTTGATCATCCCCGGTCTAATGAGGATTGGGTGATCACAATGTCTGCGTGTTAAAATCTGTCGAAACGTAACTGATGCGTTCCTGAATAGCTCAGTTCAATATGTTTCTGTTTAATTATCACTTGTATGAGTGAGTGAATTTAGTCGAACCCATTTTGACTGTGTTAGTTTGTCAGCTCCCTATGGGGGGAAATCCTGAAGCGATACAGTCACTGTGTGGTACACGTTTATAGGAGGACATCCTGAAGCGATACAGCCACTGTGTGGTACACGTTTATAGGAGGACATCCTGAAGCGATACAGTCACTGTGTGGTACACGTTTATAGGAGGACATCCTGAAGCAATACAGTCACTGTGTGGTACACGTTTATAGGAGGACATCCTGAAGCGATACAGTCACTGTGTGGTACACGTTCATAGGAGGACATCCTGAAGCGATACAGCCACTGTGTGGTACACGTTTATAGGAGGACATCGTGAAGCGATACAGTCACTGTGTGGTACACGTTTATAGGAGGACATCCTGAAGCAATACAGTCACTGTGTGGTACACGTTTATAGGAGGACATCCTGAAGCGATACAGTCACTGTGTGGTACACGTTCATAGGAGGACATCCTGAAGCGATACAGTCACTGTGTGGTACACGTGTATAGGAGGACATCCTGAAGCGATACAGTCACTGCGTGGTGACAGATTTGTTTGGTCTCCGAAAAAGAAGAACGTCTATGGTGGTTTTTTTCCCATTATTATTACAATAATTTAGAAACTGTTTTGTGGTGACGTATTTCGACCTTACCTGACACAAATAGCTACAATATTATTCTCTCATGATCTTTACAACTATTTCTTGGTGATTGTGTTTGTTATTTTGGCATGCTGGTTGTCATATGAAACAAAAAGGTCTTGTCATTGGATTACACAGGAGGCTTGACAATGTGTTATGAGCCAAAAGACATCCGTCCCCTTTTTCTTGATCTGTGATCGGTTGGTAAGTGAGTGAGAGTGTAAGGTTCAGCAATATTCCAGAAATATCAGGGCGGGGGACACTAGAAATTGGCTTCGCATATTTTACCCATGTAGGGAATCGAACCCGGGTCTTCGGCGTGAGAGCGAACGCTTTAACCACTAGGCTACCCCACATGCGTCAAAGGTGCCAAAGAGTCATTGCACGTCTTTTTTTAAAAGTTTAAATATGGCAGTAAAAGGGCAAGAAGAGCGGTAACCACGTTTCTAATCTCACCGTAATTCATAATCCGTAGCAGTGTTTGAAATACATGCTGTTAAAGCTCAGGCGATGATCAGGATATAATAATGATGGACATGATTTTCCTTTTGCGTACTCAGTGTTTGACATCATATGGTCCCGTGGCGCCAAGAGGGTTAACGCCACGCTCACCACTATTTCAGCACCATGGCGACGGGCTGTCAATTATGATAATAATAATCTGATCCAGGAATCCAACGAATGCAGGCTAACCGACCGATCCCGTAAGTTGCCTCTTACAACAAGCATGGGTTCTAGAAAAACACCCCGCAAAATCCCGACACAAACAATTGCAGACAGGTAAACGACCAAGACCGTTGTAAAGTCTAATGCTAATACAGGTGATCTTTACTCTATGCCTTATCATAAACTAAAAGGGACATCCTATAGGGACTCACCAGAAATCTTCAGCACCGTGCTTCTACACTCTTAAAAAAGAGAGAAAAGAAACCCACAGGCGTTTTCAGCACTTCATTTCGATATATTTTGACAGTTTGTCATAAAGAATGAACACGGCACATGCAGAAAAATATTTCCACGTAATGCACGTGCAGTGTGTCGGAAACATGAGTAGAGACATCGACTATAGATGGCGAAACCAAATTCATCATTTCATTACGAAGTTTACGACGTAATGAAGAAGATATTCGAAGAAAAAAAGTGCCAAGGTTGAATGGAAGCAGGGGAGACCTCGTCTGCCGTTGCAAGACACTTCAACGTCCACCACAGCACCATATATCGATTATTGCATCGATATACCCAATATCGCCCCAGAAGTGGAAGACCAAGAGTGACCACTCCTGCCCAGCACCGATTCATCCGGGTGTTTCACCTACGTCACCGATTTGCTATAGCAACGGACACTACAGGACAGGTTCTTCGATGAATTTCCGACCAAACCATCAGAAATCGTCCGAGAGAAGTGAGAATTCCAGCATATCGACCACAAATGTGACCTGTCCTGACACGACTACACCGACAACGACGTGCCCAATGGTGCGACAGGGTACAGGCGTGTAACCTGGGGAACTGGCGACGCGTTTGCATTTCAGCGATGAATCGCGTTTCCTCCTGCAACGACGGGATGGGAGACGACGTCGACACGAACGTTTTGCGCCGAACTGCGTTCGACAGGTGGACAGATTTAAATGGAGTAATCGTCATGGTGTGAAGAGCAATGTCCTACACAGGTAGATCAGGGCTAGTGGTGGTTCAAGGCAATCTTACAGCAAATCGCTACATCGACCAGATCCTGCCACCTGACCTCCTATTTTTTAACCGCCAGAGCTGTTTCAACACGACAACGCTCGACCCCACACAGCTCGTGCATGTAACAAGTGCCTATCTCGCCAATGCAAACGTCAATGTCCTTCCCTGACCTTCCAAATCGCCTGGTCTGAACCTGATCGAACATCTGTTGGTCGTTTACTACGTTTATTACATTTCTTTGTTTTTGTCCTGTGCGTTTCTTTTTTTTTGAAGAGTTTATTTACTTCGGGAGGTGCCTATTCACTTTGCCCTCACGTTTCTCCGATAGCATCTTAGACAATGGCCCAGTGTTTGTAACTTACACTCGGCTACAGTGAATGATTCTATTTGATTCGTTGTGTTTGAAACATGCTTAAAATCTCATATTCCTACTGATGTATATCGCAGCTAGACTTTGCTGCTGCTTCGCCAGGTCCAGGGCGGAGCCCGGTGGGTGGGGTGGGGTGGGGGGTGTTAACAGTCCAAGCATATGTGTTGTTTTCAAACTATATAATTCATTGTTTTTGGCATGATCAGTCTGCATATTCTGTAAAATTCTAACATTGTTTGCACGGTTATAATTTCAACACAGATCACAATCACATTCAATCAGTTCATACAACATAAATGAGAATAACTCATTTGAATGTTAATAGTACATATAGTTCAATTTCACTTTTGGGGTGGGGGTGGGGGGTGTGTGTGTTGTTGTTGTTGTATACCCTTGTGGCGCTCTTAGCTTTAGTGAGAAGCTCTTTAAAACATGGAGAAATAGCTTCAGGATTTGCCATCTTGATTGTTAGCAGGGAGGAGAGAGTTCCATTTAGAGGCCGACTGCCCCTGAAATCTGTTTTGTTTTTCCGCACCATGCTGAAGACTCGTTCGTCCCCAGCAATGGAATGCGGAATCATAAGAACTAGTTTGGCAAAACAGTTTTGTCTGACTAAAATATATTCTATGTATAACCCATGCTCAGTACAAGTGGAAACGGGGCGGTGAGGTAGCCTTGTGGTTAAAGCGTTCGCTCATCACGCCGAAGACCCGGGTTCGATTCCCCACATTGGTACAATGCGTGATGCCCATTTCTGCGGACCCCGCCGTGATATTGCTAGAATATTGCAAAAAGCGGCGTAAATCTCGACTCGCTCACTCAAAAGTGGAAACGTGGCTGGGATCCTGACTTGCGGAGGGAACGGATGAAACCAGTCGTTAACTTCACGTAATGCTATGACGATCTCGCGAGATTTATGACGTCGCTATGACGACAGTTTCACTTCTGATGCCGCCATTTTGACGCTATCATACCTCTGTGATATTGCTGAATTTCTGCTGACATTTGCCTCACGATCTGCTCATCACCAGTTATTGTCACTATGAACTCCTACACCCAAGGTATTTCTATATTTCTACAATAGCTATTGTTGCCTTTTTGCTTTCTTTTATGACTTCTTTTTTGTATTCATCCTGATGTGGGGAAACAAAGAAACATCCAGAACATCCTGTCAGCTGCCATCAAATACTGACTTGTCGTAGAATCTTTCTCACATTAACTTTTGGGCCTTTCAACTTTTCAGAGTGTTTACATGCAACAGGGGGTGGAATACAACGTCCGTTTCACACAATTATATAATAAATAGACTCATAACTGGTGGTTATTAAGGTTTTGTTGTATGGATACCCATGCCAATATTCTGCAATGCAGGTTTCCCACGGGCTTGAACAAGCCTGAAATTTTGAAATGTTAACCGTAAATGGTACTAATTGCCAGTGATTTGCCCTGAAAAGGTCCTTTGGTACACCTACAGAATACGGGATACTTACGACCCTAAACCTAAACCTTACCCAGACCCTAACCCTTGCCCTAACCCTAAGTAAACTCGCATGCTTTCAAAGATGATGGAAGGTATCCGGTTTTCTGTAGTCTTACCGGTCCTATATTTAACGAAATTTGTCAAGTTATGATTTTACAGGAACCTAATACATAATAGGGTATACCCTAATAAAAATACCTTGCAATGGCAGTGGGTGTTCTTGTGTCACCCTGTGTGGATCACAATCACTGAGCTTGGAGTCATTAGTGTTTACATGAATTGAGCCCACGCCCCAGTTGATCAAAACAATCACGCAAAACTGTTTTTAGTAGGCGATCACCGTTAAGTCGCGGAGAAACAATAATATACACGTAAAGACTTTTACATTGAAACAAATAACAAAAAAGATATTTGCAAAAAATGCAGTCCCAAAAGTTAGGTTGACAGACTCTTGACAGGACTGCCCAGATAAGGCAGTCATGGGCATGTTGATAACCATATCAACACAAGTGTCCCAGTGCAAATCCTTATGTCTATGGCGGAAGAGGCCATTCTCTTATTTATATTATTTAGATATTATCACTTACCAAACTATTAATTATTACCTTAGAGAATTGTGCAAGTGTAGTTAATACCCAACAGTATGTGCACAGTGGCCACTGTCATGGTGCTTTTACTAGTGCTTCTAAAACCAGGTTGAACCAGATAAACAACAGTCCATAAGTATAAATCAGTATAAATCAAGAAAACATTAATAATGTCAACACGCTTCACACCTCTTATTGTGATATATTGTATACATTATGGCCAACAGTACTCACAGAATTTTCTCCCTGGTTGCTTGTCTTAGCGACAGGTGACTTGTGATAAAAACAAACTAACATAATGATTTGTTGTGGTGAATTCTAAAGGTGCTCCCAACCGACTACATATATGTTATTTATACAAAAACATTCAAGAACTTTCTTCTGATCTGTATCGTAAATTACTGGGTAAAGAGCACATGGTTTGGGCCATTGGTAGACCAATGGTATACCACAATAACCTATTGTAATTATGTGGGCATGATTTTGTTTTACACATTGGCAGCACTATTTCATGTACACAAGCAAGTAGTCGGTGTCCAGTCAATACACATCAACTCACACCATTAACTCATTTAAGGTTTGGGGTAATCGTATCTTGACATCAACCAAAAGATAGCTTTTTATATGCAGTGATACACAGACAAAATGTAAGGATCCAATTTGCACTGAACATGCTTGTTTCTTAAAATGGAGTTAAATAAAATGAATAATTATATGCATAAACTGAGTAAGATGTTGACTAATGATCAGTTAGGGTTAAATGATGCCATTTATTGTTGAAGGTTTGATACAGTCAGGTTCTGTTTGTTGTTTGATTATTTATAAGACTTCCATTCCTTCTTTCCCCACAGCCCTTGACCTCGTGATCAGGTTCCCTTTGAACTTTGACATCTGGGCCCCTCCTCGCCAAGTGGGTGTCTTAGCGAATCAGTTATCTTATAGTTATTGTAAAACTGAAATTGTGTGTTTAGTATCCATTTTGTGTCTGGACCTTACCACTATATATGTTACAAACACTAGTCATACCAACACATAAACTATTAATTGGACACTATTCTCATTGTCTGTGTGTGTGCAGTAAATACTCCATAACTAAATAACATTGCTTTTACAATGTGTTTGGCTCTATCAATCATGAACTCTGCTCTCTTTCTCGACTTCCACCCTCTGTGACTCTGTACATGTCCTTCTATCCCTCCGTCAGCATCCTACTGGGAGGTACATGACCATCCTTGAACCCCTGTCTCAGCTGCCCACCCCTCCCACCTATCTCCCTGCCCTTCTCTCTACCCCCGTCCCCCGTGATGCCCCCCACTTCGTTGACATCAACCTTGATGATGACGACACCCCAACCCAGTCCCCAGTTCGAGTCTTCCTGTCACGTGTGTCTGGATTCTTGAGGAGAGTGTTCCATGTCAAGATGGACGCTTAGAGTGACATCTTGAGATTGTTTGGATTCTTGAGGAGTGTGTTTAAGATGGACGCTGAGAGCGACATCTTGCAATTGTTTGGATTCTTGAGGAGTGTTTACGATGGATGCTTAGTAAGAGCGACATCCTGCAATTGTTTGGATTCTTGAGGAGTGTGTTTAAGATGGACGCTTAGAGTGACATCTTGTGATTGTTTGGATTCTTGAGGAGTGTGTTTAAGATGGACGCTTAGAGTGACATCTTGTGATTGTTTGGATTCTTGAGGAGTGTGTTTAAGATGGACGCTTAGAGTGACATCTTGCAATTGTTTGGATTCTTGAGGAGTGTGTTTACGATGGACGCTTAGAGTGACATCTTGTGATTGTTTGGATTCTTGAGGAGTGTGTTTAAGATGGACGCTTAGAGTGACATCTTGTGATTGTTTGGATTCTTGAGGAGTGTGTTTAAGATGGACACTTAGAGTGACATCTTGCAATTGTTTGGATTCTTGAGGAGTGTGTTTACGATGGACGCTTAGAGTGACATCTTGTGATTGTTTGGATTCTTGAGGAGTGTGTTTACGATGGACACTTAGAGTGCCATCTTGTGATTGTTTGGATTCTTGTTGAGTGTGTTACGATGGACACTTAGAGTGACATCTTGCCATCTTGGAAACTGTGTCATGTAGTAATTGATTACACTAAATCATAAATAAGATAGGTTTTCTACATTTTTGGACCTTTTGGATGTTTTTTCGGATCTTTCGGATATTTAGTGGTTTTGGATTATTAATAGATAATCTGGCCATGGGTCATTTTCAAAATTGGTAGGATTTTCAATTCTTTATTACAGTAAAATCAAACTCATGAAAATTGATTTAGGTTTTATTCAAATGAAATCTCAAAATATGGGTCTTAATTATTCAATAATACAAACATGTTTTATTCAAATGAAATCTCAAATACTTAATTATTCAATAATACAAACATGCAGGCTCAAATTTACTAATTGGCCTTTTAATTGATACATAAGTAATTAATAGGGTGAGGAAAGTCCTGACCGTTACCACTTCTTAATCAGAATAAGGATTTTAAAATATAATTCATAAAAATCTTTTAAAGATGGCATACACAGCTTTTACACCGACTTAATCAAACTTGAAGGTAAAAACTATTATCATTATTTTTGAAAGTGTTATTTTGTATCTTTCATTTATTTACCACAAAATAATTGCATTTTTCTAAAACATTATTATGCATATAGCTTTCCGCAGGTAATATTGTCTAAAATTCACATCAGCTACTAAGCCCAGGACATCTTTTGATGACACCAGCATAAAGAGGAGTGTTTCATGTATTATCATGAATTAATTAGAGCAGTCAATTAACACCAGTAACGGTTAGGACAATAGTGGTAACGGTTTGGACAGGAATGGTAACGGGCTGGACATAAACCTTAAACAATTTAATTCAACATAGAAACAGGTAACATGAAAGGAAAAAATTATATTATTTACTTCAACTGCTAACCCTATTTTGGACAGACAGTGAAATGTGTATTAGAAATTTTAACTTGTAACAAATGTGACATGTTTTCTTCCATGCTGTGGTAACGGTTTGGACATTTGTTATATCAATATGAAACTTGTGAATGAATTTAGGCTTTTGAATAAAAACAAACTGTAGCTTCTAAAGAATAGAAAAACACACCTGTCTAGGTTGAAAATCACTTATAATCTAAAGAAGAGTGCAATTGGGGAACGAAAATTGAATGAATAGTAACGGTTGTGACATTATTGGTAGCGGTCAGGACATCAGTGTAACAAACAAATGTTATCCCTCTAAAAGTTGCAAAAGATTAAATTCTGAAAGGTACTGCAACAACTATGATACTGTACACATGGTCATGCTACACAGGCCACTGAATAGATGTCATTTTGCTGTTGATATTATGGTGCAATATTAGTCTCCACGAAATATACTTCTTTCATTCACTCGGATACCTTTACTTTTTGTTAATCGTGAGATGGTAACACATATTTATCAAATACAAAGGTTTGGCCAACATATTAGCACCTAGCAAATATTCAAAGTAAATGGTAGCCTTACATATCTCACAGTTAAAGTTAAAACAGTTTACACCCAAAAAATCTTTAAAGGTTGGAATACTGTTACCATAGATGTCCTAACCGTTACCTTTAATTTATAAAGACTATAGATCTTATAGAAAATAGAAACTTAACGTGATAAATTCGTTTTGGTTTTTATTATTTAAAGCAGATAGATAAGAAAATAAAAAAATATTATCACACCATGGAACATATTCTTTAAAATTGAAATTTATTAAAGATATGTCCAGACCGTTACTATTATTTGTCCAAACCGTTACTAGAGACTGTTTTTTTTATGATACTACATCAAAACTCCTTTGAACAGTAAAATTCCATGCTTAAACTTATCTTAACCCTTAAAGTAATTATAAATTTGTTACATTTCAAATAGTAATGAACAACTTTTTGAAATACAAATCATTTTGTCCAGACTGTTACAAGGACTGTCCAAACCGTTACTTTGCAGAATGGTAACGGTTTGGACAGTAACAATCAAGACAATTTGTAAGTAAATCTAAAATAAAAAAATGAATGATCCCTAAAAGATTTCAAAGGACATGCCTTCCACCTCTTCCATTTCTGGGCAACATATCCATTGAAATGTAAAAAAACAAAGAAATATATTTGACACAAAATATATTGGTAATGGTCTGGACAATTAAGGTTGACACATAACATTTATACTTATTTGATGGTGTCAATTTTCTGCAAAATGTGTTGAATTTCATTATTTCATCTGCTGTCACATCCACAGGGGCTAGCTTAAGCAGACACAGGAAGTTGAATTACAATCCAGCTCCAGGGGAAAATTATTGCAGGAATTTCATACACTGGTAACGGTCAGGACACAAAATGACAGGACAAGTATGTTACAATTTGTAGAAAAAAACCTTTTAAGTTAAAAAAAAAATTAAATGCAGTTTGGGTATGCCTGTTCAATCGTAACCGGCATAATATGAATTAGTTTCGTTATTTGCATTTATATTTACATTATTTGTGAACATTGATATTAGGACCGTCACCTCCGGACGGAGCAAATCTGCCAATTATGACCCTAAAATGTGGCTAAATAAAAACTTCAAAATGACAAGACTAATGATATACCACATTTACTGATTAGTAAACGTCTAAATATGTTTTCTAGCACAAGAAAATCCTTTTAAGTTAACAGATTTTTTTTTTATTTGGAACGGACAGAAAATCCTACCAATTTTGAAAATGACCCATATAGCGTAATGATTTATTCTGAGTAGATTTTGGTTCATGGTTTGACAAGAACAGTAGATCCAACCATGACAATCAATGTTTGTCTTAAACAGCAATTGTATCCTCCAGACTCGCAAGTTTTAATTATGGCAGATTACAAGTGTAAACTGTACAATTATTTTTCTTAGACTGAGAAATGTGAAATGTACAGATTCAGAAATATGAACATAGAACACTCCATCCAATCAATAACCTTTCTAACAGTGAGTGACTGAGTCAGGTTTAATGCCATTTTTGGCAACATTCTAGCAATATCACTGCAGAGGACACCAGAAATGGGCTTCACACATTGTACCCATGTGGGTAACATTACTGGGTTTTCGGCATGAGAAGCGAACGCTTCAACCACTAGGCTACCCCACCGCCCCTGTACCCATGTGGGGAACATTCCCGGGTTTTTGGTGTGACGAGCGAACGCTTCAACCACTAGGCTACCCCACCACCCCTGTACCCATGTGGGGAACATTCCCGGGTTTTTGGTGTGACGAGCGAACGCTTCAACCACTAGGCTACCCCACCGCCCCTGTACCCATGTGGGGAACATTTCCGGGTTTTTGGTGTGACGAACGAACGCTTCAACCACTAGGCTACCCCACCACCCCTTACTGTAAGAAAGCTGCACTAAACATAAGTACACCCTATTGCGTACCTGTAAGTGTTAAATGCTGGGTGAAGAGAAAAGTCGAACATATTTGACAAACTAAGCGCACATTCGCAATATTTGGCAATAAAACAACAATATCACAGCAAGCCGTACATGGTCAATGGTATGACCAAAAGTTTTGGTATGATACCAATTCAGTATCTCACAGATGAGGAATAATGATAGTAGGATGTGTCACATGCAACAAACATGGATTGCATGGGACTTCTCAAGATGATCAGGAGAATTGTTTCATGGCAGTGGACTTATATTTAACAACAGCAACAAACATGTAACAGGCCAGTACAAACAATTTTACATACAAATGAATTATGTCATGAATTCATAAACATATTTCATTGCTTGTCACTTCACTGAAGTGCATATGTACTTCCAACCCTGGTGCTGAATCGTGAGACGATACAACAAAGTTGTCAACAATATCGCACATCGAGGGGAAGAGTGAGTGAGTATGGTTTTACGCTGCTTTTAGCAATATTCCAGCAATATTAAGCAGGGGACACCAGAAATGGGCGTCGCACATTGTACACATGTGGAGAATTCGGAGAATTAAATCCGGGTCATCAGCATGACGAGCAAATGCCTCAACCTCTAGGCTACCCCACCGTCCCTTGAGGGGAAGAACTTCATGACACCTATAAACATTTTCGTGTGACATTATTTCAATGCATCAATATACCAGTCATGTAGACTCCTTACCTCAAGGCAACTGGGACCTATAAGGAATACATCGAACCAACTGGAGTTTGAGAAATATATATGGCAAAAATGAAAATCGATCAGTGGCAGTATTACTGCCTCATCTTGGAGATTGGTGTCTAACCCATGTTCCTTTCAATCTCCTACTCCAGATTAGGTTACTGCTCAGAATGCAAAATGTCAGTATTGCACATCTTGGATCCTGGGTCTATCTCATCTTCACCTTCTGTAGATTCAGCCACATCTGAAATGCAGACAGAACATTAATAGTGAGTGATTGAGTGAGTATAGTTATACTTCGCTCTTAGCAATATTCCAGCAATATCGCAGGACACCGGAAATGGGCTTCTCACATTGTACCCATGTAGGGAATCAAACCCGAGTCTTCGGTGTGACGAGCAGACTCTTTTAGCATTAGGGTACCCAACCACCCTATGATTAATAAATTCAATCTAATACGTATTTTGGCAAGACATGCAACAACTGAATTACCATAAACAAATCTAAAACATTGCACAGTAATGCACCAACCTGCCCCTTCTGGTACTGGGAGTCTGTTGAGAGTAGGACTCGACACCCCATGACGCCCAGACAGTCTCGCTGACCGCCACACTTGTTACAGTGGAGAAACTGGACAACCACCCCGGCGTCAGCATCACAGTGGCTGTCTAATGTCACACCTGGAATGGAGGACATCAGGTTGGTGACTGTTCCAAGTGTAGTTCATAGGTAATATGAATACAGTCACTCTACTACAAGTATTGAAATTCCTTCTTTCAGAGAGAAAAGACAGGATTGAAATCACAATGGCAGGATTAACTCGTTCCCTACTTTTGTACATAAATATGCCTGATTCATGTACCTTTGGCATTAACCTGGACAGATAAGGATGAATGTCTCAACAGATTGAGGATTCAGAAGGTGAGAGGCATATAACTAATCTCAATACAAAAAGCGACAAACTTTCTCAAGTGAGTGAGTGAGTATAGTTTTATGCCGCTTTTAACACTATTCCCGCAATATCACGGGGAGGGACACCAGAAATGGGTTTCACACATTGCACCGATGTGGGGAATCAAACCTCAGTTGTTGGCATGATGAGCGAACGCTTTAACCACTAGGCTACCTCACTGCCCCCTTTCTAAAGTGAAACTTGTTTTTGATAGATATGCACCACCAACTATATTCCTAAATACAGCAGCTAGCTGCAGGACTGATCAAATGTACTTCTTGATGGAAAACTTCAATTCAAAAGATTACATTCATACAACTTGAGGGCATGCTGGAACACTTTATCACTGCTACTGCTAGGTAGGGCCAGCTATGTTAACAATGTAATAGAGTTGAAGTGAGTAAGAGGGGGCACAGAAATATGCCTTCCTAGCTCTCCATATTCAACCCTGCTTGACTATCTAAAGATAGTTCCTATCAGCCTACTCACCATTTTCCAGTACAGCGGAGAACCCCTGCAGCGAGTCCCCAGGTGGCTGATCCGGTAGGTATACTACATCAGGGACACCTGTCATCCCAGACAACTTCGCAAAGCAGGGCACCCTTTTCCGCTTTTCAAAATCTGGAACAAGACCAAAGTTAATATACTGGTACAAATGACAGATTTCATGGAATATTTTCTGACTGTAACACCACGCCATGTCCTGATCTTAAGAAAGTTCCAAAACCAATCAATGGGCTAGGGTTAGGACTATTTTAATTTTATGCTTTAGAATTAGAGTGATGGTGGTCGTAGATTATTGTGTGGAACACACTCAGTCAATATACATGCTGTTGTGAAATGAGGTTCAAGATACTTCCCTTAGTGAACTGCATATGTGTGTGTGTGTGTGTGCGTGTGTGTGTGTGCGTATGTGCGTGTGTGCGTGTACATAAGCTGGTTCTATAGTGCCACCCACTGAGAGTTCCCAGAGTTTAACATTGATAATTATTATGGGTCACAATGTTTAAAGGTTTGAGTGTGGGTTTTGGCTCGCATTTCGCATCATATATGTTCAATGGCAGTAGTATTTTTAGCGGCACGCCTTTTTGATAACGGTTCAGAGTTGCCTCCCTTGGCAACATGTTGACTTCATGCCGTGTAGTGTTCGATGGATTTCTATAAAGTTCTCAGTGGATAATGATACTGCCTAGCTTTGCTAGAGGGCTAGAGAACTGTGTAAAAGCTATATAAAGGCTTATTGTTGTGTTGTACACAGACTTAATTACATGACTGGATTTGTGTACATCTGTCTGCCATCGTCATCGTCTAAACTACATTTCAAGACTGACCGTGCTTGTCTATATTCAACATATGTCATTGGGTTAAATATTTTATATTTGTGACCCAATATTATAGATTTGTGACTCAATTGCATTGTACTAGATATCTGTATTGTCATTCATTGTAGATTGCTCATTGATTGTTCAATATATCATTGAATACTTTAGACTTGTCTGTGTTCTATTTTGCTGGTTCAAAGGGGACTTTTAAACCTTTGGTCACGGCAAATTATTAACTGTAACGCATACCATATTTCCTCTAATAAGCACTTATTAGAAACCCGGTGCTTATTTCTTAAACTGCTTCTTTACCCTGATGCTTAATAGAGGCCCAGCGGTTATTAGAGGAAATACGGTAGATACCACCCACACAGTATACTGACGCCGCTACTGGGAAAATGACACAAGGAGACAGTCTCTGCTTAATGGTAAGTGTCAGATAAGGGACCTGAAAAGAACCATCCCGTAATGTCATTGCTATGAATTCAAACATAGACGTTTTACAGATGTTCTGTCCACTATACAACGGAGGCAAGTACAGTCTAAGCTACCATGAACATCTAATGTGGGAGTGTGGGGAAGTGGGGTAGCCTAGTGGTTAAACCGTTCACTCCCCATGCCAAACACCCGAATTCGATTCCCCACATGGGCACAATATGTGAAGCCCATTTCTGATGCCCCTCACCACCGTGATATTGCTAAAAGCAGTGTAAAATTAAACTCACTCACTAATGAGGGAGCGTGTCAGTGTAAGACAGATACTTACCTTTTACCCTATCGAGAAGAACATGGCCACATTCAATGCACGTGATCTGTTTAAAATCTGCTATCTGTAACATAATAGAAATACACCCTGAAAAGTGTGCATCCTACAAAACCAAGGTGGTAGATATTTCAATTTTGTCTTAAATCATGAAAAATCATGCAGGACAGTTCGATGCATGATACCATGGATATATGTATGTTTTGTGTCCAGGGAATCCTGCTGGCCAGTTCTTGAATGCTGTGTCTTTAGTTAAGTTAGCCTAGCCTGTAACAGCCCAAACACATTTAGTGTAGAATCTGCAGAACAGGTTTTGCCACAAGTTTTGATGTTGCAACTGTCGGAAACCTTAAATAATAATAATACAGTCGAAGCTCTCAAAACCTGCAGCCCTCCAATCCGGCATGCTCTCAATATCGGCACTAGAATTTGGTCCCGGCAAAAGCTAGTTACTTTATGATCATTTACAAGCCCTCTAATCCGGCGTCAGTCTATTCCGTATTTCGGCAAAACAAAGACCGCCCAAGTGACTGTTTGTACAGTAATTAACGCTCTCTAAACCGGCATTGATTGGCTGAACGTATATCAACAGCACAGTGGATTACCATCGGCTCATTGATGTTGCCTGATAAAAGGAGTATGGATAAGGATTAGGCCAAAGTAGGTGAGGTAAATTGGTGAGTGACACGTGTCACTTGGATACTTGCTTGATATGCTGAAAGACATCGGATACTTTGCTTTGACAAGTGAAGTAAGGTTATTACTCGCAACACGTTCAGTCGTATTTTATGGAATAGGGAAGATCATTCTCGGGTTGAAAAGGGAAAAGTTATCTAAACCGGCATGCCCTCCATACTGGCATTTTTTGCTAGTCCCAACGAATTCCGGTTTAGAGGGCTTCAGCTGTAATAATAATACTCTTATTATATCATAGTTACATGGAAATATACCTGATTCCTATCTTCCTGAACTTCATCTAGAAAGTCTATTCCCCTTGACCGTTTGGACCCTGGCTTGGCAGTACTCTCAGACTTGCGTTTCTTCTGTCTGCTACTCCGTCGCTTGACCATCAACCCTTCAAGTTCATCAATATCACATGCATCTCCCTTGCTGCCATGTTCCTCCTGAACACGGTCCTTGAGAGTCTCCTTAGAGTCACCAGCACTCTGTTCTACACCGTCTGATCGACTCTTTCGTTTAAAAAGTGGTTTCTTGGTTGCAGTCTCATGTTCTGAAACACTGAGTGGGTCGGAGCTTCCATCAAATAAAAGAGGACTTGTGCTTTTAGCAGCGTCACTGCCCACAGGTTCTGTTGCAGGTGGGATGTTGCCACTCTCGTGACCATCGTCTACTGACTGGTTAAGATGTTCACAACCTAGACTGTCTCTGGGAACATGACAGAATTTGAAGAAGCGGTTTGATTTCACATCTTTCTCCAGATTTTGTTTAACTACGTTTTTGTTCGAACCAGTCACCAAGCTCTGTTTTTCAGTAACGGTCGCTGATTCAGGTAAATTGCTTTCTGAGACATTCTCGTTCAAAGTTTTATCACTTCTTTTGTTAATTTGGTCATCCATACCCTTGTGTTCAAATTTGAAAACAAGCTTTGTTTGTTTGTTTTTCTGTCCGGACCTTGGGTTAGGTGGGAACACCACCATATTCTTCCCAAGATCACTTAGTTGAGGTCCTGGCAGATCCCCATTTTGTAAAACAGATTGTGCATGTCCCTCAGTGTTAACTGTCTGAGATCTAGGGTTAACAGGACTCTCAGTCACTGACTGAACATGGCCATAGTGATGCAGAGAGGACTTGTTGTTATTCGTTTCATTCAATATGACAACCTTCTGACCAGAAACATTGTTCACAACATTTTGATTCCCCTTCTGTGAAGTCACAACAACATTCTCTTCCAAAAACATTTTCCCAGAACGTCCAATAATTTTGACGTCTGCTTCTGTTGATGGTCTGCCTCCAGTTTTGAAGCCAAGGTCAGGGGTGAGATGTAATGGTGAGTGAGAGGTCATCGGATCATATACAGAGTTGTCTCCCTTACGCACAGACACAGAATGGGGTGTGATGTTCGCCTTGTCTTGAAGTGGGGTCCGGAGCAGTGAGTCGTTAATCGACTGGGTACAAGGTGTGCTTGAAATAAAGGATGCTTCAGCTCTGAAACAGAATAATTGATTACAGTAACTACTGACAGTAGATAAAAATCACACATTTTGTACAATATCATAAAATATAAATAAACAAATATTAATATGTCTAAAAAAATTAATTTTGGGTTTTGAATGGTTATATTTGTTTGGTTGTTGTTTAACACTGAACACAGCAGGATTCCTCCCATGTGACAGCAACCTGTAAACAAGTCTGGCCCTGATTTAGTGATCAATAGTATGAGCAATGATCAACTCCTTTGAGTTACGATGACCTGCTATCTATGAAGTCACTGAAAAGGATTCTCAATCCATTGAGTCACTTTAACCTGAAACACAAGCTACTAGTGACATTTATTCTCATCCAAAATCCCCATTTCACATGATCATATCTACAGACCATATACAAACTATATTCCTGGGTAATCTCTATACTTTTGAAAATGTGAAAAGAGGGAATTTACTCATGTTCAAATGCGTTTAAGTTGTAGTTAGGATGGATGTTTTCTTAGTTTTAAATACAGTCTAATAAGAGTGAGTGAGTGAGCTTGGCTTTACACCGCTTTTAGCAATGTTCCAGCAATATCACGGTGGGGAACACCAGAAATGGGCTTCTAACATTGTACCCAAATCAGGAATTGAACCAGGGCCTTCGGTGTGACGAGCGAACGCTTTAACCACTAGGCTACCCCACCGCCCCAGTCTAATAGGCGAGTAGTGAGTGAGTGAGTTTAGTTTTACGCCCCTTTTATATACAGTGCACTCTGTCAAACTCGGACTCTGTCTTTCTCGGATTGCTGTATAAACAGGACTGAACTCACGGTCCCCGGCGTAATCCTTCTTTGTTGTCATAATGAAAAAGTTCTGTATCTCGGACTCTCATTATTTCGGACTTCGGACCAAAGTGTCGGCCCGATAAGGTAGTTACATGTAAAAACATTGCTATATAATTCGGACTGAGCAGGAAGTCCGCTTGGCCAATAAACCCTGAATAAACATTCCGTTGATTAGTTTGTGTATTTATTTACTTAGCAGGAAGTCCAGCAGCCAAGACCGCGTCATCTAGCGGTGAAGGCTTATTACCTTTGATGCGACTAACACCAATTGTAAACTATAATTGAGCCGATCATGTCAACTCAGTGTCAATGTCACTATGTAAGAAGCGATTTTATTGGATACAGATTGGTTTCTAATGGCAGCTTTTTAGCCACCGTCTGCTATAAGGGTCGTAATTGGTCAAAATCAAACACGTGACCTAAGGCAGCCAATGATATTACGGCAATGGATACCGCCTAAGTAAACAAAACTTTTAGATTTAGACAAAAGTTTTGGGTAAAATAATGCTATTCTGAACATATTAAGTAAGAAATCGCTACCTATCGTAAATTATGGAACTTATTAGACTTATCGTGCTAGGCTATGACCTGTGACAAAATGCTTCATGTATATATTTTCGCATTAAACATCGTGTCGAGAGTGAAGATTGAGGCGGCGAGCGAGAGCGAGATGTGTCACTTGCTAGTGACTTGACTTACATTACATGATCGCACAAAAGATGGACATAGTAATTTTATATTTTCACGTTTGACAACTTTTATGAATGTTGTTGTTGATTTTTTCATTAGTTTATTCAATTTATTTAATGAATTCCTCGAAACATCGTTACTTTACTCTTTGACAATGTTATTGTGGACCCGCTGCGAAGCAGGTGTCGAGAATCGTTGTTTTCAATAACATTGCGTTTATAATTTTAATTCTGCTGATAATATATGATAAATTAAAATTTATTAAGTGTTTTCAGACATTGTGAAATGTGATAGATTTAATATATGAATCATAAGTCAGGTAGGTTCCTAGAATTATGTCTCATTTTGAAAGGAGATAACTCCATTAAAATCTCGGACACTGTAAAATCTGTCGGTCCCAAACTGGTCGAATTAGACAGAGTGGACTAGCAATGGGCATCAATGAATTAAAACTCAGCGTGTGGACTTTTAGTTCTCCATGCAGTCGATCCAAACTGGTCAGAGAGTTAGACAGAGTGACACGGCCTTGTTCCTAACCCACTTGGATAAGCCTGGACAAAACACACAAAATGTCAGCGATTTTAAACTTTATTCCGCACAGTGATATAAGTTAATCAAACATTTAAAACATTTGAAATAGTAAAGTTTGTTCTTCAGCCATTTTGTCAAGTACAATGGAAAAAGATGCTGAGTAGAAGTATAATTAAGTGTACGGGCTCGTACTAAAGTGTGATTATAGAGCTTCCACTGTCACTGTGTGAAGGTATTGGAATTACATCCTTTGTGCACTCCCATGAACGGTGAGTGAGTGAGTTTAGTTTTACGCTGCACCCAGCAATATTCCAGCTATATGGCGGAGGTCTGGAAATAATCGAGTCTGGACCAGACAATCCAGTGATCAACAGCATGAGCATCAATCTATGCAATTGGGATACGATGACGTGTCATCCAAGTCAGTGAGCCTAACAATCCGATCGCCTCTTATGACAAGCTTTGGTTACTGAAGACCAATTATAAGCCAGATCTTCACTGGTAACTCCAATAAACAATGTGAAGAATATAGTAAACATACTAAGGCATTTCAAGTGTTATCCTTGAATTATCTGTATATTGATGATATGTTACCAGAAGATTCTGTAAAGTACCTGTGTGGTATTTATGTGGTATTACCTGTGTATGAGCTGATGACAAATTACCAGGAGGCTCTGCACACCTACCTTTGAGGTATTTCTGTGGGTTCTTCACAAATCTCTCATCAACAATAATCAGAGCTCCCCAGTCTCGTCTGGAACAATAAACAAACACTGGAGATTTCTCAGATGGATACGAAGATTATTTCATAGACATTGCCTACCTGTGTCTGATACACCTGTTTAGTGCCCACCTGTGTCCGATACACCAATCAGTGCCTAGCTGTGTCTGATACACCTGTCAATGCCCACCTGTGTCCGATACACCCATCAATGCCCACCTGTCTGATACACCTGCCAATGCCCACCTGTGTCCGATACACCCATCAGTGCTAACCTGTGTCCGATACACCTGCCAATGCCCACCTGTGTCCGATACACCCATCAGTGCTTACCTGTGTCCGATACACCTGCCAATGCCCACCTGTGTCCGATACACCCATCAGTGCTTACCTGTGTCCGATACACCTGCCAATGCCCACCTGTGTCCGATACACCCATCAGTGTGCTTACCTGTGTCCGATACACCTGCCAATGCCCACCTGTGTCCGATACACCCATCAGTGCTTACCTGTGTCCGATACACCTGCCAATGCCCACCTGTGTCCGATACACCCATCAGTGCTTACCTGTGTCCGATACACCTGCCAATGCCCACCTGTGTCCGATACACCCATCAGTGCTTACCTGTGTCCGATACACCTGCCAATGCCCACCTGTGTCCGATACACCTGCCAATGCCCACCTGTGTCCGATACACCCATCAATGCTTACCTGTGTCTGATACACCTGCCAATGCCCACTTGTGTTGATACACCCATCAGTGCTTACCTGTGCCCGATACACCTGCCAATGCCCACCTGTGTTCGATACACCCATTAGTACCTACCTGGGTCTGATACACCCGTCAGTACCTACCTGTGTCTGATACACCTGCCAAGTGCCTGGTTGAGTGCTCGGAAGGCCTGGATCTCGTACCAGTCACTCCCAGACAGAAGACCTCGAGCTGCTCTATGTGTATCGTTATACTTCCGCTTCAGTTCCACCTATCAGATTGGAAAATACAACATCAAACAAGAACACAAGAAAATTTTGAGTGAGTGAGTGAGTTTAGTTTTATACCGCTTTTAGCAATATTCCAGGAATATCAGGGCAGGGTACACCAGAAATGGGCGTCACACTTTGTACCCATGTGGGGAATTGAACCCGGGTCTTAAGCATGATGAGCGAATGCTTTAATCACTAGGCTACCACAAATTTAGTATTGTCGATATGAATGCAAAAACAAGTGACCAGGCTAGCTATTCTCGAAACGTTCGTAGCCCTGCGAACTTTTTCAGTCCATTCTCAACACATTGACTACGATCAAAGTTAAGAATTCTTAGGGCTACGAACGTTTCGAGAATAGGGGCCCAGTTAGGCAAATGCAGGAATTACAATGAAACCAACAAAACAATAACTATTTGCCGATAGCTGATAAAAAATATACTTAAAGTTGCCAACATTTTTACCAATATCTGATCATAATGTCAGCCATACCATGCCAGTTTAATGTAGGAGACCCATGCTTGCCTAAAAATGACCAGTGGTCTAGTAGTCAGACTTACCTGTATGTCTTTGAAGTTTGGGTAAGGTATGCCCACCTGCAACAGAACGTCAAACCAGTTAGGGAAAACTTTACCACTCCGGTCATGGATTTGTTGAACGAATAACCTAAATTAAACAGCATGAATAAGTCGTTTTATCTTCTGCCAAGTCTGTTTAAAAGTCGAGTTTACAAAACCAACTTCTAACTGGTTTAACTGTTTCAGTTTACTTCATTTAATTTAACGTAAGTGTTGTAAAACAATTGGTGCTCAGTTTAGGTAACATAATCTGTGAATAATAACATGAGGCTTTAGTTCTTTGACTGATTTGCCCATGCAACATTTCACTTAAATTAAACAAGAAAAATTTCATCTGCAAGCCAAGTCTGTTTAATAATCAAGTTTACGAAAACAACTTATAAAGAGGTAATACTTCATGTTACTTCATGTAACTCAACATAAATGTTCTAAAACAATTGATGCGCAGTTCAGGTAACAAACTACGGGAATGATAACAAGAGGCTTTCGTTCTTTTTCATGCAGAAAGAGGCAATAATATTATGGTTTTTTGTACAAAAGGAAGATCTTACATTCACATCTGTCCATAATAACCCTGTTGCAACCATTTTAAGCTTTTCAAATAACAGATCCTGAAATACAAACCATATGACACAGCAGTGTGCGAAATAGTTTCCGAATTTTGCTGAAAGTTACTAACCCAGAATATAATTCACTAGCTTGAAATTTGAATGTAGACACAGGTTTCATCATTAAGCTGTTAACATGATGAACATTTTTATCAGGCCATAATCTTGCATGATTTAAAGGTGTATTATAACTTAACATGTTGGAGAGAGTGATATATTTACAACATGAGCCAATGAAAATTCACTAGCCAGTTGGGCCAGTGGAGATTTACTAGCCCGACTGGATTTTTACTAGCCACAGGCTAGCGGGCCAGTGGCTATTTCGCACACTGTAACACAGTGACATCCACTCACGGTTATCACTGCTCGAGCAAAATTGTCAGCAAAGTCAAGTCCTTCACTAACTTTCCCTCGACACACGGCCAGGAACAGGGCTCCATCTTTGTCTTCATCTGACGTAGAATACTCAACATTACGCAACAATCGCAAATTATCACCCAGGACCCACTTGCACAAAGCGATCTTAGCGCTACGACTATCTTAAGCCTATGTTGGAGAATGGGAGTTACAATCATTGTAGCGCTAAGATCGCTTTGTGCAAGTGGGCCCAGTTCATTATGATAGCAGGGTCTAATTGTTTTATGGGCATGCCTACTCTAAATTAACCTGAAAAGTGATTATAATACATATTGTGACAGATAAATATTCAATGACAAATATTTGTTTGAAACTTATATTTTGATATGTTTCAAGAATATTCATCAACAATTTACAAAACAAACACAAACATGAACACCCAGATTTCTGTACACTGAGCAGGTTGCTTGTGATTACCTCCCCTTGTTTCCACAGCCTCATAGAAGAGATTCATCAGCTCCTCAAAGTTCATCTTGTCAGACCCCCGAGGTTCTGCAACGATCCTCTTCTGCTCAAACATCTTGTCCCACAGACCAGTAGTCTGAAGTTACAACATGGGACTAGTCAGACAAATGTCAGACAGGGTGGCTATAAGCACAGAGGAACAGAGAGACTGATAGAATGAGAGTGAGAGTGAGTGAGTGGGTTTAGTTTTTTAAGCCGCCTTTTGCAATATTTCAGCAATTTCATTGCTAGAGACACCAGAAATGGGCTTGACACATTATACCCATGTTGGGAATTGAACCCGGGCCTTCAGCGTGACAAGTGATTGCTTTAACCACTAGGCTACCCCACCACCTGTCCCAGACAGAGGATCAGGAAAGATTTGCATTATTTGAGAACTGAACAGTATTTTAAAAATTATGACAATTATGTAATGTGTTCAAATGAGTGAAAACTAGTCTTCTTTAATTTGACAACAGTGAGGATAAACTGTGTCACATACTTGTAGGAAGCATTTTTCAAGATTTCAAATTAAACTGATTTTAACCACTAGGCTACCCCATCGCCTGATAGTGAGAGACAGACAAAAGGAATAGAATGAGCTTGTAAATGATAGAAAGAATGTGGTGGGTGAGTGAGAGAGAAATTTGTAGCGTCAAATCACATTGAGTCACATCATAAAATGCCAACTTGATAAGTGAAGCCTGTGGGAAGGTCCATGACGTGAAGACATGTGTGATGGAGAGAGACCAAGCTTTAGAATCGGCATGAATCATGAGTATGAACTCATGACCAACGGAACATGCCACATCAGAGGACATCATCCCCAAAACTTTTTCAGGATCATGGAAATCATGATTAAAATTTAGGCATAGCACAATACTGTCAGAATCTAGCATCACACCAATCTCGTCAGTTTTTTGAGGATCTCTCCACGTCTCCACATCTGACCACATCTCTCCAGCCCTGCAATCCCATCCACTGGCTACCCATCAAACACAAAATATGTCTTCTGACTCACAGCAGCATCTATGACAATGACGCCTGTATCTATCTAAAAAATCTCATTACCATTCACAAGCATCCCAAAACTGACTACAGTCAGCTCTACTTGGAGTGTTGTCTTTCTGACATGTTTTTGATCCTGTACAGCGCCACTGAGAACCTTACTGATGGATTTTAGACGCTATAGAAATGACATAGCATTGTTTTATGCTGCTTTTAGCAATATTCCAGCAATATCATGGTGGGGACACCAGAAATGGGCTTCACCAGTGTACCCAAGTGGGGAATCGAACCTTGGCCTTTGGTGTGACGAGCGAAAGCTTTAACCGCTGGACTACTCTACCGCCCAGATGCTATAGAAATACATTATTATTATTAAACCCTGTCCGCCTTACCTTCCATCTGCTGGTGAGTTTTTCCAGGCATTTGTAGGAGGGGAAGAAGCACAGAACACCATGAGGTACAGTCTGGAACACAAGTAGAACACAACACTGTTTCAGCAAACATGTACACTTGCTGATGTAATCATAATTACATGTTTTCAGGATTTAGCAGATTCCAAAAGAATTTTTGTTGTGGTGTATATAAATAAAACAAGAAGACAAAGTCATCAATATCCCCACAAGAATGGCAAAATATTCCTCATGATTATGTCTCCACGAAGTTATGATTATGTCAAATATTTAGGGTGTGTATATAGAAAAGTGGAAGGAGAGTATTGAAAGGTTTTTAAAGTTCTGCTCCAGAAAGGAGCACTATCACCAATTTCAGGCTAAGTCAAACTTGTTGCCATGGAAATGCCCAAAATATTTTATTCAGAATTCCAAAACTACCAAAAGGCACCAGTACACCACCAGATCTATCTATGTGCCAAGTTTGGTGAAGACACATTGAACGGTTTTAGAGTTCTGCTCCGGAAAAGAGCACAACCAATTTCAGTCTAAGTCAAACTTGTTGCCATGGAAACACCAAAAATACGTTATTAAGAATTCCAAAACTACCAAAAGGCACCAGTACACCACCAGATCTATCTATGTGCCAAGTTTGGTGAAGAAATAGAGAACAGTTTTAGAGTTCAGCTCCGGAAAAGAGCACTACCACAATTTCAGGCTAAGTCAAACTTGTTGCCATGGAAACGCCAAAAATATTTTATTCAGAATTCCAAAACTACCAAAAGGCACCAGTACACTACCAGATCTATCTATGTGCCAAGTTTGGTGAAGAAATAGTGAACAGTTTTAGAGTTCAGCTCCGGAAAAGAGCACTACCACAATTTCAGGCTAAGTCAAACTTGTTGCCATGGAAACGCCAAAAATATTTTATTCAGAATTCCAAAACTACCAAAAGGCACCAGTACACTACCAGACCTATCTATGTGCCAAGTTTGGTGAAGAAATAGAGAACAGTTCTAGAGTTATGCTCGGAAAAGAGCACAACCACCAATTTCAGTCTAAGTCAAACTTGTTGCCATGGAAACGCCAAAAATATTTTATTCAGAATTCCAAAACTACCAAAAGGCACCAGTACACCACCAGACCTATCTATGTGCCAAGTTTGGTGAAGAAACATTGAAGGGTTCTAGAGTTATGCTCGGAAAAGACAAAAGTGCACGGACGGACGGACGGACGGACGACGTACGTCTGAGTCCATTTAATACCCCCGCAAAACGCTTTGGGGATAATAATCATACATCTGAGGAACTGTTTTTGAGGCTTTGTACCAGGCAAAAGCTGCAGTTGCCTTACAGACTCTACTTATGTAAAAGGACCCGTGAAGATCCGGGTTAGAATTGATCTTCAGTAACCCATGCATGTCGTAAGAAGCGACTAACGGGATTGGGTGGTCAGGCTCGCTGACTTGGTTGACATATGTCATCGGTTCCCAATTGCACAGATCGATGTTCAAGCTGTTGATCACTGGATTCTCTGGTCCAGATTCGATTATTTACAGACCGCCGCCATATAGCTGGAATATTGCTAAGTGCGGCGTAAAACTAAACTCACTCACTTATGCAAAAGCTGTCGTTATCTTACAGACTCAAATCATGCAAAAGCAGTAGTTACCTTACAGACTCGTAGGACCAACTGTCCAAGTTCATCTTGGAAATTGTAGGTCTCCACATTCCTGTACACTGCCTGGAGAGACGTCCCACTAGGACCTTGACCAACAGCACCAACCCACACCTGGAATAAAACGCAACAGATGCTTATCTCTGGTAACCATCTACTCGGACTTATTCTTCTTTGGAGCTTTGCAAGCACGGTCCTCGGGACCAACAGGGTCTACAACAATGTGACTTGACAATAATGGCATCACCTTGAAATCTAAACCAACACTGGATCATGGGGACAAAATAATAGTGTTGGGAATCGACCTCTAAACCATAATCGATATCAAGGGCATCTGTCGAACAATTATCAATAAATGATCGACTACAAGGATGGATTTATGAACACAAGACCAGCTGGATGAGACGACTGATACGAGACCGCTTGTAATAAAGATCTGTCATATGACATGAGATTGTAACCCATTCTTCTTCTATGGATTAAAAAACACTTTTTAATGAAGATCTTAAAAATCATGGAGTATCTGACTTATAAATATGAATTTCGATCACACTTTTACAGCTAAACAATACTTTGCTGAAGATATTTGTGTGTATGAAAATTGAGAAAGTAGAACTCAAATATCAAATAACTACTTTTTAACAACAGATGCTGTTGTTAGAATTTTGTAACCTCCATTAGCAACAGCTGTTGGGACAAATAATACAGCAACCACCATTCACATTTATCTTTCTTCTGTTTCAACATTAGCAAGTTTATGATTAACTTCTTCCATCTGAATTTTCACTGCTATTCCACATCAGTGTGCACAAAACAGTTTCATACAATAGGACCTATTTGAACATGATTCACATAAAGTCAAAGGTCAGGTGTGCCAACTCAGAATGCCTGCGCCATAACACTGGAGTTATCTCCCTTTCACCAGTCGCCCAGCACTTCTTGCTGACTATTTCTTAAGTCAGCTCAGGTCACAATATACCACACTAAAGACAATCACAACTAATATCACTGACTCACAAAATGGCAGTTCCTCCCTACTGATCAAATGAAACATATAAATAACGTGATGTCAATTTCAGCCAGCCAACTGGCACGATTTCGCATCTGGGATTTTAACTACAAATAACACTTCTCCCTACCTGATCGTCCTTGATCACATGGTTGGCTTCCAGCTGTATACTAAAGTTCATCCCAAGCTCCGAGGAAAAAGACGACATCGGTGACAGCGTTCCACTGCTCAACACGATACTGCGACAGTTCTGGAGGTCTGAGAAAGCCTGCGGTACAGAGATAGGCTTAGTTACTGGGTTGTCATTCAACAGAGACTGTTCCGAAAAGATCCTATGATTACATTCAGTGATACTTTCTTTATAAAAACTGATTCGAGCCTGTCTTAGGGCATAAGATGTTTTAGGTCATTTGAACAAAATATTCAATGTTTGTCAATCTTTGAAAATTCCATAATTTCTTTAACACACATCCCGATCAAAGACTGAAAATTTCATCTTGTACATTTATGAATCCTATCCCTCTCAGTATTTCTTCGTATTCTTTTGATCACTGAGAAGAAACTGCCTGATTTTTTAAAGCCTCAAAAACCTCATCCAAACACATTCCATCTGTTGCCATGATGATTATTGTTGTACACAAGAACTGAGTGAGTGAGTGAGTGAGTGAGTGAGTGAGTGAGTGAGTGAGTGAGTGAGTGAGTGAGTGTGAGTGAGTGAGTGTGGTTTTACGCTGCTTTTTGCATTATATCAGCAATATCGAGGCGGGGACACCAGATTGTAGCCATGTGGGGAATTGAACCCGGGTGTTCGTCCTGACGAGTTACCCCACATCCCAGGAAGAAGAACGGGGCCAGCAACCTACCACTGCAGGGTTCATGCACCAGAAGTTGAGTGTACAAGTCACCATGGGAACTCTCCTCTGTCCTGAAACAAACACCTGGCCTTAGTTCAATTTATGAAGTTCCACGCTTCTTGGATTAGCATATCTGCCTTGGTAGGTAGTAGGGCTGTAATGAATACACTATGTTGCAAATATGATACGTATCACGAATATTGGGTAACGAATACGAATAATTATTCACGAATACAATATTGCAGTTAAGTGACTGATGCACAATATTGAATACCCATGTTGACAGTGTTAATTTGTCAGTCATCTCATGACTCTCAGATTTGGTATGTAATAGTTATAGTTGACAGTAACATGTCTGCCCTTGGCAAACTAACATGACTTGCGCTACTACAAGGCTTGTACATAATGCATTCTTGCACATCTCGTTTTGAAAAAGGACAAAAGGGTTCAAGTAAAACACACTCCCTTAAAAAAAAAGTAAATATTCATGAATATTCGGTTCTAGTGACCACGAATAACGAATTGAATTCATGAAGGGCTACGGTTCGATTCACCGAATATGCGAGTGAATCGTAACAGCCTTAGTAGGTAGTACAATGTTAAAAAAAAAACCAATTAAATAAAAGTGAAAGAAAATATTGATCGAAAGATATATTTTAATACATGATGCCAAGTCTACTAAGCTATGTGGTATGTTTTTCAAATCTTAACTCGACAAATAGCACTTGTCAAGAAAAGTATTTATAGACAGTAAAAAGTTGAAAGATCTCCCCCTTCAAAATGGAATCTCCTTACCAGACTGCAACATCCACTCCCATATATTTCAGAATCATGTAGCATATGTTTCCACATCACCAAGGTTCTTACCTCCATGCCTTTGCCTTGGATTCAGCCAGGCACCATTCTGAAAGAGTTCAGCCCAGTATGAAGGTTCTATGGCGTGTCAGAGTGAGTGAGTGAGTGAGTTTAGTGTAACGCCACACTCAGCAATATTCCAGCTATATGGCGGCGGTCTGTAAATAATCGAGTCTGGACCAGACAATCCAATGATCAACAGCATGAGCATCGATCTACGCAATTGGGAACCGATGACACGTGTCAACCAAGTCAGCGTGCTTGACTAACCGATCCAGTTAGTCGCCTCTTACGACAAGCATGGGTTACTGAAGATCAATTCTAACCTGGATCTTCACGGGTCGTGTCAGAGCGAATGCTGAATGACAGCCAAAAGAATTAGTTTTACGTTTAAGTTATGATAAGAGTAGTGTCCAATTAAAGATAACTGTTTAATGATTAATATTCAGCAGCAACACGACCCGTAAAGATCCAGGGTAGAATAGGTCTTCAGCAACCCATGCTTGCCACAAATGGCGACTATGCTTGTCGTAACAGGCGACTAACGGGATCGGGCGGTCAGGCTCGCTGACTTGGTTGATACATGTCAATTGCGCAGATCAATGCTCATGCTGTTGATCACTGGATTGTCTGGTCCAGACTCAATTATTTACAGACCGCCGCCATATAGCTGGAATATTGCTGAGTGTGGCGTAAAACTAAACTCACTCACTCAGCAGCAACATTTTCAAATCAAGACAGGTTAAAACTTACCAGGACTTGAATATTTAGATTTCAACTCATACAGGTCTGTATGATGTATGCCGATAAAAAAGTCACTAAATACAATGCAATTTCTAATGAAATACTAGTCAACCAACAAAGGTTTTGACTCAAGTCACTCTATCTTTGCACAATGATTCACATAAAAAACAGTGATTCAATGTCTTGATGCAGAAATTCATTTCAGTCATGCAAGGTTGCTTTACTGTTGTATTGTTTGCTTGCCAACCTCTGTTTACTATTAATTGTGTAGAAATGACACAACAATATTCCATGACCCGTCTATTGATGTCAAATCAGTCATACAAACCGTTGGCTGATTGGAAACAAACGATGTTGTCTTGACTATGGAGACCCTGCAAGAGAAAGAAATGAGTCTTATATATTGATATAATATTTAATAATTTAATGAACATTACAACTAATCCAAGTATGGAAGCTTCCCTGAGGGCTGATAATTAGTATTATTAAGAGAAATGCATGATTTAGTTTTAGAGAAGTGTGGTGTGATATAGTGCCTTTAAGGGCAAGATCAACAGTATCGGAGGACAATGTACAATCACACATAGAAACAACACAACTGTCCTTATACAACAAACATCGGGCACAGGGGAGTTATTAGACCCCTGAGACTGCATGGCAGATGATTCAGGGAAGTCAATACCAAACTGAAGAGTATGAAACATCTGGGACATCAGTCCATAATTTGCAATTTTCTGAAACTAATACTCCCCAATGATACATATACACCTTTTTGCACTGATTTTTATTGCTTAAAATCAAAATCTGTGGATCATCAGAAGTTAAACAAGTGATTATTTATTTAATGATTAGAAAAGATTGTAATCAAGAGAGTAAACATGGATTTCAATGTGTTTATCTGTAATGTAATGAAAAGTTGAGAAATCCATGTTGACTCTGTCTTTAATGACACAGCACCTGCTAACATGGTACTGACAGATGTAATCGGTTGTTTTAGTGGCACTGTCTGTCAAGGTTGATTCTTCCAACTGTTTTTGTCAGCCTGACTTATTTATACTCATGGAAACAAATAAGGGAACACCTGAAAGTACAAGTGTTCCTTTATTCTTTTCCAGAATGTAACCCACAGTGCAATACAAAGCTTGTGAAGAAACCTGGAAAAGAATAAAGGAACACTTGTACTTTCAGGTGTTCCCTTATTGGTTTCCATGAGTATATTTACTGGTACCTGTTGAGTGGATCAGTGGGCCTCCCTCACCTGTAATCCTCCACAAACTTCATGTCGTTCCTGTACAGGTAGTCAATGGCCGATGCCAGATGTTCTAGCACGGTCATTACAGGAGGACTCAGTTTGACTTCTTCACCTTGGGCGTTTCGAACCACCTCGTCTTTCTCTTGACACACCACCCCCATCGATTTCTGTACCATAAAATATGTACCATTCATACTGACATTCATACGGTAAAGGTCATTTTGGGGTCTTGTAAGGTTTTAATAAATACACATAGCAACACCAGTTGCCATAAAACAGATTTGACAAGGTAACTGGCTAAAATTACATCATACTTGGCCTAACATACACAATACACGTACATCCATCTACAGACAAGAGAAGATCTGATTGTGGTAAGACGTGACTAACGGGATCGTTAGACTGGATTGTCTGGTCCAGACTTGATTATTTACAGACTGCTGCCATATAGCTGGAATGTTGCTGAGTGCAGCAACCAACCAACATTGATGTTATACACAAACATGGTACATTGGGGGCCTTTCATTTCTTGGGTAAAATTTGTAGGAGACGATAATCTGCAATAATCATAATTAGATCATATACAAATCGCAATCTTTTAAGTTTTTGACCGATTCCAACAGAGAAAAGTTGCAAAAATGGCACTAATAATAATAATACATTTACTTATGGTGGGAATTGTTGAGGAAATATTGAAGGACTTTTCCATGCATTGTCTTTTTACAAACCTATGAAGAGCATAAATATTCCTCAGATTTCAGAATTCTAAGACTCACCATTGCTTCAGTATACTTGACTGGTCCAAGACCAACGCAATCCAGTTGTGCCACGATGTCAAAACCTGACCAGATCTTGTACGACTGATCGAAGTCCTTCTGTTCCAGTTTGTCAGAATGGAGATGTATAAACTGGTCCAATCCAGTCATCTGAAATAATAATATTATTATTATTACAATAGAAAGAATTTGTTCAGGGTTTACATCCAGCAATGTTCCAACCAACAAAATTCACTGATACTGAACAGGTTTCAGATTTCAAACAAATATCTGACCATGAAGCCTGTGATTATTTATTTCCGAACTACATGAGTCCATCCCAATGATTTCTACAGACTGTTCTATGGCTTGTGGCTGTCAATGCTTTAGATGTATTTTTGTCACCATGAGCAACAAATGTTGAGTACCAGTTTTGACAACACAGAGTCAAGGACTACTGTTAGACTGACTGACTGACTGAGTTTGGTTTTACGCCGCTTTTAGCAATATTCCAGCAACATCACGTTGGGGGACACCAGAAATGGGTTTCACACATTGTACCCATGTGGGGATTCGAACCCGGGTCTTCGGCGTGACGAGCCAACGCTTTAACCACTAGGATACCCCACCGCCCCACTACTGTTAGAACACAGAGAGAAATAAAGTGTCATCATTTCTGGGTAATTGAAGATTCAGTTTGCTTTTAATCCAACTTACCACCTTTTCCAGCAACATTGAGTTGGCCGTATCTACCCCAGCATTCACTGAAGGAAAGAACCCAATGATAAGTGGATAGTACTCAAAGCAGCGAGAGAGTGAGTGAGTATGGTTTTACGCTGCTTTAGCAATATTCCAGCAATATCACGGCGGGGACACCGTGGGCTTCACACATTGTACCCATATGGGGAATCGAACCCAGATCTTTGGTGATACAAGCCAACGCTTTAACCACTGGGCTACCCCACCGCCTCAGAACTTAAAGCAGGCAGAATCATGGACATATGGTCACATATTTTAGTGGTTCATCGCTACAGATCAATAACAAAGCATTCAAAGTGTGATCAATTGTTACACCCTTTTCTGCAATAGCGGTACAGCTTTTGATTTTCCTTCAACGGTGCTTCCAGTATTGATATGACCTGTGAAGATCCAGGTAAGAATTGGTCTTCAGCACCCCATGCTTGCCGTAGGAGGCGACCAAGGGGATCGGGTGGTCAGGCTCGCTGACTTGGTTGACACATGTCTTCATCATTGAGTAGATCACTGGATTGTCTGGTCCAGACTGCCGCCATATACATCGTGTAGGTGGAATATTGCTGCGTGCGGCATTAAACATGGGGATCGGGTGGTCAGGCTCGCTGACTTGGTTGACACATGTCTTCATCATTGAGTAGATCACTGGATTGTCTGGTCCAGACTGCCGCCATATACATCGTGTAGGTGGAATATTGCTGCGTCCGGCATTAAACATGGGGATCGGGTGGTCAGGCTCGCTGACTTGGTTGACACATGTCTTCATCATTGAGTAGATCACTGGATTGTCTGGTCCAGACTGCCGCCATATACATCGTGTAGGTGGAATATTGCTGCGTGCGGCATTAAACAATAACAACAACTTATCAGTAATAAACCTCGGAGCATGCATGGAATGTACAACGCCCTAACCTACCCATGGCTCTTAGTTCTGTGATGGCCTTCTGTATCAGCTCCTGTTTCAGGCTCTGACTGCCTGCTTCCCGTGAAGAGTCCTCAATGTTATGAGCCTCGTCTAGGATGATAATCTGGTCCTTCAAGTTTATCTCCATCTGAAAATTGGTAAAATCTAAGTATTTTAGATATTTACATACTTACATCTTATCATCTTATATGCATACTTGCCTTACTCTCCGAAAACAGACTGCAGAAGTCGAGATCGAAAGCTTGCTAACCTATAACTCGCGAAGGTGGTTCGATTGAAGACATCCGGGTGACCGGTAAGGTCACAGCAGTCTATCACGTGCCCACGTGAACAAGTCATTCCTTTCGTAACGAACAACCAGGTAGAACGATGAAAGTGGGGAGGCAGCGAAGTCTCCGGTGGGCTTCAGACTTGATGATAAGAGGTAAGTATGTAAATATCTAAAATACTTAGATTTTACCAAATTCTTTACTTACCTCTTATCATCTTATATGCATCTTATCCGACAGTGCTGGAAGGTGGGACGTTCTAACCATTGTTCACCCAAAGAGTGACGTATGGAACAGTGAATGCTTGGGGGTCTGCAAGCAAAACAAAGACCATGAAAGTGACGCACGTAAAGGGAACAATAGGTGAGGTACTCTCACGATTGTTCCTGTACAAAAGTCACAAAGCCTCCAAAGGAAGAGAACAACGCCTCGTACCTTAGTGAGTAGAAGGACGTGTCATCTGTTGAGCCACCACAAGAGGACCAAAACTCTGAAGACCTTCCACATCTTCAACTGCCACGTCTCGAAGATAATGGCTGGCAAAAACAGTGTTAGACTTCCAAAAACAGCCCTCCATAATCGTGGGAATTGAACAATTCCTATGAAGAGCCATTGTGGAAGCCAAAGCCCGAATTTCATGCGGGTTAGTCGCCTTAGGAGGAGGTAACCCGGCTGCCTCGTGAGGCATTGATGATGGTGTAGATCCGCAACCAGAGGGCCACTGTGTTCTTGTTGACCTCCCCTTTGGAGCCTGTCGATAAAGGGAGGAACAACCGTCTTCTCGTCCTTCGTCTAGGAGCTGATCTAGAGATGTATTCTCGTAAAGCTCTCACGGGACAAAGGGAAAGCTTCGTCTGTGTCCTCTGCCCCTACCACAGAGGAGAGAGGTGGAATGGTGAATCTCGATCTGGTTGTCCCGGCAACTGATTCTTAGCCACAAAGTCCCATAAGAGACCCAAGTGGACAGCACCATGGCGAGATTGCTCAAAGTGGATTCTCGTGGCGTCTAGGGCGTGAATCTCGCTAACCCTTGCGGTTGTGGCCAAAGCCAGAAGAAAGACCGTCTTCCTGGACAACAGATCAAAAGACGCCTGGCATAAAGGGTCATACGGGGACCTCGCAAGTGTTGAAGAACAATGTTGAGGTCCCAAGCCAGTGGACGAAACTTCACTTTCTGGTCCTCCAGTTTGAAAGCTTTCAACATAGCCTGCAACTCGGGGATCTTGGATACTCGCACCTCCGTTTTTACTGCCAGAACAGAGTTGATGGCCGAGAGGTAAGTCGCGATGGTACCTCCTTTGAGATAACGAGAATTCCGGAGATGAAGGAGGAAGTCCGCCAAAAATTGAGGGGAGGCAGTCAACGGTCGCACAGAACGGGAGGAACAGAACCGTTCAAAAGTAACCCATTTGTCATCATAAAGACCCCTCGTTGAAACTCGATGAGCCCTCGAGATGATTCTGGACGCACCGTCCGAATAACCTTTCGCCCTCAAGGTCCTCTGTAAATGACCCAAATGCAGAGATTGAACCTCTCTGGGTCTGGGTGGAGTTGTCTGCTGTGAGGGTGAAGCAAAAGATTTCTCCACCCGGGCAGACGAATTGGGTGTGCGTTGGCGAGACGCCTTAGCTCGGGGAACCAACCCCTCGCCGGCCACCAAGGCGCGACCAAAAGCAGTTTCAGACGAGTAGTTTGCGTATTTTCGCCACGATTTCCGGCAGAAGCACTGGAGGCGGGAAGGCGTAGGCGTCGAGACTTTCCCAAGACAGAGACAGAGCGTCGACTGCCCACGCGGCTCGATCAGGGATCGGAGACACATAAACCGGAAGTTGATTGTTCAGGTTTGTGGCGAACAAGTCTACCATGGGCCTGTACTGGGACTGGCAAACGAGATCGAACGCCTCGGGATGAAGCATCCATCCGGTGGGGGAAGGTTTGCCGGGCCTGGTTAGAGCGTCTGCCAGGATATTTTTGCAACCGGGGATGTGTCGTGCTCGAACTGTGATGAGAGCCTGATCCAAAATCTCGAAGAGCTCGAACGACTGATGGAGAAGACGTCGGGAACCCGTCGTCCCCTGATTGCGTATCACCCAAACCACTGTTGTGTTGTCCGATACAATGAGTAAGTTGGCTCCAGTGAGGCGATCTCGCCAATGAGATACTGCCAGAATCACAGCTTGAAATTCCAAGCTGTTGATGTGCCAGGACTGATGTTCTGTTGACCGAGACTGTGTGGCCGTCCAGGTGTGCTCCCCACCCCTGTAATGAGGCATCCACAAAGAGTTCCTGGTTTGGGGAGAATTCGCTCAAACAGACTCCGACGCAGACATTCGATGGGTGAGTCCACCAACGAAGGTACCGGTGCAGATGCCACGGCAGTGGAATGCTGGACCTGACAGCGTCGGCTTCTATGAACGGGTTCAAAAACCTCTGAAGAGGCCGAGGCATGAGCCTCCCCCTGCTCGTGAGGTCCTGTGCCGACGTCAATAGACCTAAAATGGCCTGCCAATCCCTCAACTTGAGAGCCTGGGTCAACCCCTTGTGGACGCAGGCCAAGATCTTCACCCACCGGTCGGGTGGGATTCTGAGCTTGTCTTGAGCGGTGAGAAAAAGTCCTCCTATGAAGGTGAGTCTCTGAGACGGCTTCAGATACGACTTCTCCCAATTGATCAACCAACCCAGTTGAAGGAATAATCGGAGAGCGTATTCCTTCTGTCTGACAAGCCTTTGACGATCCCAGTTGTTCATTAGACAATCGTCGATGTAAGGGCTGAACTCTATCCCTCGTAGATGAAGGAGCCGTGTAATCGGCACCGTGATGCGTGTGAACAGCCACGGGGCCGAATAAATTCCAAACGGGAGTACGCTCCATTGGAAATGCTGGCCCTGGAAGTAAAACCGGAGGTACTTCCTGTGGGGCCTGAAAATAGGAATGTGCAGGTACGCATCCTGTATATCCAGGCTGATAAGCCAGTCCCCTGGAGAGATCTTGGTCGAAGCTGGTCCATGAAACCAGTCGGAAATGAGGAGGATCCAACAGGTAACGGTCGTTGAACACCGCCATATTGTGAATCATTCGCATTTTGTTGGTGTTTTTCTTGGGGACCAGAAAGATCGGCGAGTAAAACCCGAGGTTGTTGTTTGGGTCCTGTACCAGTTCGATGGCCCTTTTGTCGAGCAAAATCTGAATGTTTTCCGCTATTTGCTGATGTTGAGCCGCAGAATAAACGCTTGACCGAGGCAGGTTGGTCAGAGGCGGCTGACTGCATAAGGGAAGCTGGTACCCCCTTTTCAGAATGTTGACCACGAAGGGATCCTCCAGGAATGTCCAGTTAGGCCAAAAGATCCCCAATCTTCCGCCTACAGGTGTGGGATGGATCTGGACGACTGGGGGCGGAAGGTCCCAGTCGTGGAAGTCCGATGCCTCAGCGGCGTTGATATTGTGGTTTGGTGATGGCAAGGGGCTTACCTCTCTTGCCTGGGGCACCACCGGTGGGTCGTCCCTTAGTTTGCCTAAACTTGCCAGCTCGGCGGACACAGGTGCGCTTGCCAACATAGGAGTTGGCCTTGGGCGCTGGATTTGTATTACAAATGGCTCGAAAAGACTCGAGGGCTAACCCCGTGGTTGTAAAGGACGAATGTTCCTTATAAATCCCCCTTATGGCATCATTAAACAGGCACCGAGCAGAAAAAGGCTGATGAAGCAACTTCCTTGTGAACTCCGGTTCCCAAGCACATGCCGAGAGGTATTGGCCAACGCAACTCGAACATGACCAACAATGTCCCCCAATGTGCGAGATTGCCAACGCATCATTGTTGTGAGATGGTCAATCCTTGAACCATTATCTTCCTCCAAATCCTGAGAAATGGCCTCCGTAGCCGAGGCCAAGGCCGACAAGGGACGGAGCATTCTTTTCAATTCCGTATCAATAGCAGCCAACTTGGAGTCAGGAACCCTATACGAGGAGACAGGAGTAGACGAAAGGCGATCCAATTCCTCATCGTGAACAGCGGCCTGGTCAGAGAAATCCAAGGAGTGAATAGGATAATCACCCCTATGCGCTTTAGCCGCCCGGAAGTTATGATTCAGAGACAACTTAGCAAATTCCTCATCCAGAGAGTCAACCAAGTCCCGGACAATAGGGTGAGGCGGAAGACGAAGATCGGGTGAGTCCCATATAGTGAGCTTCTTATCCACCCCTGCAGCTGGAGAAGGGCAAGTAGTCTGCAGTCTATCCGCCATCCAATCAAACACTGCCTCAATGCCTAAATGAGTGTCGGAATGAGGTTGGTCCAACATCTCCGGACCCTCCAAAGATTCGTCATAATCTGGACGGAAATCCTTCTCAGAGCAAGGGGAACAAAGAGGCGACCTACTTCTGTCACTTGAACGCGTAGAGCCCTTATTGTCCCTCTTGGACGACCTTGAAGACCGATCCAAGGTAGTGGAAGGAGGTGGAGGAAGTGGAGTAGACTGACCTACTACATCCGGTGTTGCAGGGCGAGACTCTTGAGGGGATGATGAAGGTAAAACAGCAGGCCCCGGGGGGGCTGGTGGTCCCATCTGGGAGTGTTGCTGCGACTGTTGAAACATCTAGTTCATAAAATTATAGATGACACTCGGGTCAAACCCCTGAATAGGAGGTGCACCATAATTCTGCGGTATACCAAAATTCTGGAACAGAGGTGGATAATTCCCCACCTGTTGAGTCACACCTGCCTGATAAAAACCTCTCTGGTTCGGCAAACCACTGCCCTGTGGAGTAGAGAACTGTTGCGGTACGCCAGACATAGGCTGTAAACTACGTTGTTGTTGTGGTGCGCCAGTCTGAAGAGGTGCGCCAATGCCAGTTGATACGCCACCGGTGAGAGGTACACTCAGTCCAACAGGTATAGCTTGTCCCATCAGTGCGCCCTGTCCAACCCCAAAGGGAACACTGACGAATCCTCGGTTGACACATGAAGCGCCGTATTCACAGGTGACGAACTCAAAGGCGTACCGGTAGGTGCGCCAGACGAAATCGGGGTAGATGCGGGAACAGGCGGCTCCCCCAAGTCTTCCACAGGAGTAGATGACATTCTCTTGCGTAGTCTCTGTTGCGTAAGCCTCTTCTTAGCTACACGCAAATAAGCCTTGAAGAAATCAAGGGACAGTCGATCGCACTCCGAACACCTGGAGTCCCACGTGCACTGAGAAGTGCAATTCAAACAGCGAGAGTGCGGGTCCCTGTACGACTTGAGACCGTTACACTTTATGCAATGAGGCCGTGGCATACAGCGCTCTAAAACACAAGCAAAACAACAATTTATTGACAAGCGACAAGCGAAAACATGTACGAACCGCCTGGGGCTGCAGAAACAAACACGTCGCAAACACAACCCCGCTCAATCCAGACAGGGAGACTAAACCGGCAAGTCACGTGGGACCGCCATTTTGGCAGTAACACGAGGCACGCAGGTGAAGTGAAAAAGCAAAATAAACACCGCGAAAACACCCACCCACCCTAGGAGGGATGAATGGGAGCCCGAAAAGAGATATCCAAGGACACAAGTCCCGGATACCCCACCACGAACCATGAACTCCACTCGAAGCGAGAGCGAAGAGAAAAACTAGCGAGCGAGAAAAAACAAGAACGAGGACTCACCGGTGAGTACGTTCTAACAAAGTTAGCAAACTTAAAACATACCAGAAGTATAGCAAATAAGAAACACAGGGGACACAATACCCCCGCAGTCAAAACTACAAGTCTTAGGATCTCGATCCACGTCTGATTCGGTACACGAATAAGAAAGGAATGACTTGTTCACGGTGGCACGTGATAGACTGCTGTGACCTTACCGGTCACCCGGATGTCTTCAATCGAACCACCTTCGCGAGTTATAGGTTAGCAAGCTTTCGATCTCGACTTCTGCAGTCTGTTTTCGGAGAGTAAGGCAAGTATGCATATAAGATGATAAGAGGTAAGTAAAGAATTTCAAATAATGAGAGAAATTCAATGATGCTAGAATTCTTAAAAACATACCAGTAGTGTTTGTGAGTGTTGACAGTCAATTGGACTGGATTTTCTTCAATCAATTTGTTGGTAATCTCACTCGCAAATGCATGTTAGATTAGAACTATGATGTTGCAAATTGGCTAAAAGATGATCCCTGTAGCCCTTGGACAGTAATTTGTTTATGACCTATTACGTAAAGTTTGCCTCTTTTTTGGGTTTCATTCTCAAGAGAGATGTATCAGTACTGCTGTACTTACGCTATCTCTGATGATGCTGTACTTACGCTCTCTATGATGATGCTGTACTTACGCTATCTCTGATGATGCTGTACTTACGCTCTCTATGATGATCCTGTACTTACACTCTCTATAATGATGATGTACTTACGATATCTCTGATGATGGGGTCCACCAGGTAGTTGTAGGGGCAGATGATAATCTCACTTTGCTCCTTCAGAGCTCGCGTCAGGAAGTACGGGCATGCCTGCATGAGGATGAAGTCAATGTTGTCTTAATGCCAGTCCGAAATATTGCAATTGTCAAAAACACAGGCCTGTAACTGGCTGACGAACACAGGTTGTCCAGACCCTTTTGCTTGTCTGGCTAGTGAGTGACTGATAGAGGTACAGATTGAGTTGTTGGGGAGTTAGAGGTTTGTTGAATGCATGTGGGGGATAGGTCAGTGTATTGATTGAATAAGTAATTGAGTGACAAGAAAAAATTGATATGAATTGGAACTGAATAGAACTGACAGGAAATGTGAAGATTGTAAATAATTCTGTAAAGAAAGTAAATAATTCTGTAAAGAAAGTAAAAAATTACGTAAAGAAAGTAAATAAGAGATTCCATATCTGTCAGAGAAATCTCAGCAGAACGATCATTAATCACAGTTAAAGGACTGGATTTGGAACAGACGTCGCTGAATATGGCCCAGAGTCCTACGTTTTGTTTCTTGCACATGTTCACCATGTCCTCGAGGTCCCAGGCCGTCGTCAGCCCCATGCGGTGGATCCCTTCCTGGCTGGAGATGGACTTGGCACGGTCCTTCATCCGGCAGCCAGGACCCTGCACAGAACAAACATTGTTGGAGGAACAGGAGGAAAATTTACAGGGGAACCGCAGGAGGAAAAGTTACAGGAACATCTGGAAGAACAGCTACAGAAACATCAGGAGGAACAGTGACAGGAACATCAGGAGAAACAGTTACAGGAAGAGCTGGAAAAACAGCTACAGGAACATCAGGAGGAACAGTTACAGGAAGAGCTGGAAGAACAGCTACAGGAACATCAGGAGGAACAGTTACAGGAACGTGTGGAGGAACAGTTACAGGAGGAGCTGGAGGAACAGCTACAGGAACATCAGGAGGAACAGTTACAGGAAGAGCTGGAGGAACAGTTACAGGAACATCAGGAGGAACAGTTACAGGAAGAGCTGGAGGAAGTTACAGGAACATCATGAGGAACAGTTACAGGAAGCGCAGGAGGAACAGCTACAGGAGGAACAGTTACACGAAGAGCTGAAGGATCAGCCAGAAGAACAGAAGAAGAGCTGGAACAGCGGAGAGAACAGCTACAGGAAGAGAGAACAAGAGCTGGAGGAACAGTTACAGGAAGAGCTGGAAGAACAGTTACAGGAAGAGCTGGAGGAACAGTTACAGGAAGAGCTGGAAGAACAGTTACAGGAAGAGCTGGAAGAACAGTTACAGGAAGAGCTGGAGGAACAGTTACAGGAAGAGCTGGAAGAACAGTTACAGGAAGAGCTGGAGGAACAGTTACAGGAAGAGGAAGAGCTGGAAGAACAGTTACAGGAAGAGCTGGAAGAACAGTTACAGGAAGAGCTGGAAGAACAGTTACAGGAAGAGCTGGAGGAACAGTTACAGGAAGAGCTGGAAGAACAGTTACAGGAAGAGCTGGAGCTGAACAACAGTTACAGGAAGAGCTGGAAGAACAGTTACAGGAAGAGCTGGAAGAACAGCTACAGGAAGAGCTGGAGGAACAGTTACAGGAAGAGCTGGAAGAACAGTTACAGGAAGAGCTGGAAGAACAGCTACAGGGAAGAAGAACAGTTACAGGAAGAGCTGGAGGAACAGTTACAGGAAGAGCTGGAAGAACAGCTACAGGAAGAGCTGGAAGAACAGTTACAGGAAGAGCTGGAAGAACAGTTACAGGAAGAGCTGGAAGAACAGTTACAGGAGAAGAGCTGGAAGAACAGTTACAGGAAGAGCTGGAAGAACAGTTACAGGAAGAGCTGGAGGAACAGCTACAGGAAGAGCTGGAAGAACAGTTACAGGAAGAGCTGGAAGAACAGTTACAGGAGGAGCTGGAAGAACAGTTACAGGAAGAGCTGGAAGAACAGTTACAGGAAGAGCTGGAGGAACAGCTACAGGAAGAGCTGGAGGAACAGCTACAGGAAGAGCTGGAAGAACAGTTACAGGAAGAGCTGGAAGAACAGTTACAGGAAGAGCTGGAGGAACAGTTACAGGAAGAGCTGGAGGAACAGCTACAGGAAGAGCTGGAAGAACAGTTACAGGAAGAGCTGGAAGAACAGCTACAATAAGAGTTGGAGGAACACTACAGGAACATGAGGGCATTATAAGGATGTTAACAGTGCCCTCAAATTTCCTGTACAAACCCCATTGAATAAGGGTATCATCGAAATGAACGTCATGCTCCAGTGTCATGATGAGAAAGAAAAGGAACTTTCATATTTTCTTTAATTTTACCCAATTGAATCTCATAAAGATCACTTGAAAATCCTGTCACAGACGCACCTTCAACAGTTCCTTACAGCCATCGTTCTTGTTGGCCATCTTGGAGACCACGTGATGGACACAGGTGTGCTCCCTGCTCCCCAGTATTGTCATGCTGTCCACAAAAACACCGATTAGACCCCACTGACCACTACAAATCACATGATTTAATTTGTATAAAGAACGTGCTACTGAGCAGAGAGTGATGTAATACTCATTTTGGGTTTCAGAAACAGTGTCATGTGTTGGGTATTTATCAGAACAGATTTGCACATGCAAGGGATTTACTATTAGACTGTTCAAAATGGGGAACTTTACTTTTTTTTAAACTTTACTTAACCTAATATTTTCCTAAATTCTGAGGTCTGCATTTTAACAGTAAGTGTAACAATGTAAAACTAAGACGAAATATACAAAATATACAAAATGTATAATGGCAGACATAGTTTCACGTCATGAGTGAATTTGAAATGGACTTTGTCAGGAAATATGTTACAGTCAAGATATGCGTAGATACACATGATAAGAACAGTTCAGCTTGTCATCGGTGTCTCTTAGAAGTTATTCCTTGTTTGTGATTTACAAGAAGTGACATCTTTAATGTATTAATGTCATTAGATTGTTTGTTTCTTGATTACAGGAATGCTGACGGCCTTCACATTGAAAATTCCGTGTTCTGTGTTAAAGGGAATCTTCATCTAAATCACTTAACATTTGTGAAGGATCTCCTGACTTTAGATTAGCTGTAAGTATTGAAAAAACACTCATTACTCGACGTCATGGTAGGCTGTTCTCTTCAGTTCCCGAACTATCTGTGCCACCTGCTTGTGTGTGCGCGTGCCGAAGTAGATTCGAGGGATTCTGGAAAAAAAGTGTACATCATGAAAACAAGTGTTAGTGATCTGGAATCACGTGAGTTGGAGAAGATTCATGTAGACTTTTATATGATTATATGAACAGTAAAATGTGACACATATACCAGTCATGGGATATATTTCTGATTCTGGTGGCAAGCAAATTCCTATTCCATCCCAAAAAACTCAGGTATTTTAACACAAATTATTTTAACGGTCATTTAGAACAAGAGTCATCAGAAGATGACAAATCCCAAGCTACCCACATGTTTGAAAGAACAAATCATCTAACAGTTACTTAAAGTCCAACTTGATTTTGTTTAGACTAAGTCCAAATCATTTCCATGGAAATCATGAAAAACATAAATGCCAAAAAATCTGTAAATAGCAAAAGGCACCACTTCAAGATCTGTTTGATACATCTGCTAAGTCTTGTAGAAAGATATTGAAAGGTTTTTCGAGTTTGTGCCATTTTATGCAGCTATATGAAAGCTAAACCTACTGTATTTGAAAGAACAAATCCCTCCCTTTTGAGACGAAGTCCGAATTGTTTCCATGGAAACCGGGAAATATAAAATAGCCAAATATCTGCAAACAGCATAGGCACCACTTTGGGATCTGCCTCATATATCTGCTAAGTCTTGTAGAAAGATATTGAAAGGTTTTCGAGTTGTGCTCCGGAAATGAAGCCCACCGCTCCCTTTTGATAGTAAATCCCATACATTTCCATGGAAATTAAGAAAATAAAATGTGACGAAAATCTGTAAATAGCAAAAGGCATCACATTAGGTTCTGTTTGATATGATATATCTACCAAATTTAGCTGAAAAATATTGAACAGTTTTCGAGTTGTGCTCCGGAAACAAAATGATTACAGATGGACGGACAGGCGGATGGGCGTGGACTAAGAAAATCAGATTCAAATCCCTTGAATTAATAGGGGAGTCATCCAGGGAAGGAACAAGCATGTAAAAGTTTTACCTTCATTGGTACATTATTCTTGAACAACTTGAGATTCTTGAGAGGCATTTAGAAGTTGGTGAATATATAAGATGAGTATATGGATGGCAACTTCTTGTTTATTGTTCACAACGGACAATAAACACCCGACACTGGTTAAACGGGACACGTGACTGTCACATTTCAGTCAACTGAATCCCTTCAGGTGAGCAAAACATGCTTATAAAGACCCTAAGAAGACTTTAGGGTTAGAACTTAACTATATAAGGCACAAGCAAAAGACTGCTTGTGACTTTTTAAGCTACAAGCTAAATGAAATTTCAATGAGCAAAAACATAAAAATAATTCCAAAATCATGTGACACGTAACACCTCCACTGCTTTAATAGGTTTCTCAGCGTGACCGTCGTCAGTTTTCTTTTAGTCAGGACTTATCCCCGATTCCTCACCACTTTCCCCTTCACACTTCCGTTTTAAGTAGTTTTATATCATATTATTTGCAATAATGTTCCATCATAAATGTCAAATTTGACAAATGCATGTATTTGCTAAGGTCTGCCATCATTGAATCAGAAAATACTGATGTTATACTTAGCATATGATTGGCTATAATTTCCGTGGATTTTATAGTCGAAATCCTTCGTTACAGGACGTAAAAATAGGGGAAATAACTCCAAACTGAGTATGATGATGTTTCTATGCGACCATTTTCAAAACTCCAAACTGAGTATGATTGACGATGTTTTTATACAACCATTCTCATATTTTTGCTGATTTAAATCATCAAAAACATGGGACATTTATAAAAAAATTGATTGCCATTATGAAGTTTTAAACACATTTAGCATATTAGTGTCCGTTAATTTCGACCCTTAGACATATTCAGCCTTACTTCTTTTTCTTGCTGGCACTGAGAGTGGCACAGTCACATTCCTGGCAGTCTTTGATAGGGGGAGATACCATGTTAACTGTCTCTATTTTCTTGTTCACTTCCACACTTTCAACCTTTGGTGTGTCCATGCTGCCTGGTTTTATTGGAGAGGCATCATATTCAATGGTCACATGTCTCCGAAGTTTTTTTGATAAACTTGGCTGAAAGAGAAAGAATCTAGACCTTGATATATCCTTTCTTCTAAAACAGAAGAAATATCCACTACCACTCACGAATTAAATCAACGGTGGTGGTGGTGGTGGTGGAATTGGGTTTAAAGTCGTGCTTGAGAATATTTAATCATATGATATTAGATATGGTAATGATTTGTATGAATTGGTTTTATAGTGCTAGCCCACTGTGATGCATTGAATATTTGTTCAATTATCTGAGCAGTTGATGTACCATTAATGCCGAAAGCCCAGGGATGAACAAGTAATAACGCTCTTTGGTATTACAGTCGGGATGTGCGACCTTTAACCGGGCGGAAATTCATATCGGAGGCGGTCTTAAATCACATGGATTCTGAATTATTAATACAATGATTTGTATGAATTTATTACATATAAACTGTAGATCAGTCTCTGTTATCCCATCATACAAGTCTAAAAATTCATATTTTTCACATGGATCTGTTATTGATATGTTTGTGGGAATTACATATAAACTGTAGCAGTTAAAACTCTATCCAAACTTCTTGATAGATTAAGGGGGCGGTTGGGTAGCCTAATGGTTAAAGTGTTCGCTTGTCACGCCGAAGACCCGGGTTTGATCCCCAAGATGGGTACAATGTGTGAAGGCCATGTCTGGTGTCCCACGTCGTGATATTGCTGGAATATTGCTAAAAGCGGCGTAAAACCATTCTCTCTCACTCACTCACAATTGATTGATTAAATCTCAGAAAATATGTTAGAGGCAGAAGTTGCCAGGAACATCAGGTGAAATGAAGTGAAGTGAAGTGAAATTGGGTTTAACGTTGTGCTTGAGAATATTTTGCTCATATGACAACGTGCATGCGTGTGTATGTGTATGTGTGGCTGCTTGTACTAGCCTAGACTTAAGCTGGTTTTATAGTGCTAACCCACTGAGATACCATGCCGCAGTGAAGCATGAATACCCCACTCAGACACATTATACTGACTCCGAGCCGACCAGTCCTCGTTGTACCCATTAATACCGAGAGTCAGGCAGGGACCAACAAGTACCATATTTTAACGTCTTTTGGTATGACGCGGCCGGGGATCGAACCCGCGACCTTCCGCTCTCCTGGCGGACGCTCTAACCACTACACCACGGAGGCGGTCTCAGGAACATCAGGATGCTTTACTGCCACCATCAAGGTTACTGACAACTACAAGTTATTTTTGATGCACTAAGGACCCTAAAGGGATTTGAGATTTGACCAATAAGTAACAGATCCTGTCAATGTAAAGGGAAACAACTCTACACAGGTGGAAAACACAGAAGACCAAAGGGTCATCCATGCTTTTGATAGATAAGAGAGTTGTTAAGGCCAAACCTGGTGGGTACCAGGAGTCCTGAAAGTCTTGGAGTCTTCTTTGAAATCATCATCACCATCATCATCAACACAGACAACATCTTTATCTGAAAATATAATACATCCACATCTAAAAACCTTACTGCAAGAAGCCAAAGCAGCAACTCAAATGCTTTGAAAAAGCTGTGCTAGAACATTATCACTCCTATCTACCTGAGGCAAAGGAATTAAGTGATCATAAAAATCCTGTTTCTGTCCTTGCTGAACTAGGCATATAACTGGAGTTATATTTTGGCAAGATTTACAAGTCTTTCAATGTTCCAATCAAAATCATGTTATGAAGTCAAAATTCTGTTGCTAAAGAACACAGCTAATGAATTGCACATTGCAATAGAATTTGCAGAGTCTCTGTACTGTTGAACAGGCATTGACAGATATTTTTTTCACATCTTCTCAGGCATTTACTCCAGATGCTCAAATGATGATGTACTTCATGAGGTAAGACTTCATTTTTTATACAAAAAAATCCTGATTATTGGTCATATCCATCCAGGCTGGACATTGCCAGTTTGGTCTGAAGCAAATGCAAGTGATATGAGAGATGGAATTAGAATTGGAGGGATCAAAGGACATAACTACAATGCGGACACGAAATTTAGTTAACTCCCTTGCCTCCTTGACATACGAGTCATGGCACTGCAATTACCAAGTCTGAGCTGTTCTTACAATGATGGCTAGAGGCAGAATGACTGTCAACCAGGCTGTCAAACAAGGAATTCTAAAACAAAAATGCTATTCATATTTCAAGGGAATCGATATTGCTCGAAATACTGTGAAGGTTCCATGTGTTACCACAGTTCCCTTGAGCACAAGACGTTGCTGTGGCACCTCCTGGTGGGGGGAAGTAGGCACACGTCGACTCCCCCTCAGATGCCTTTTGTTTGGCGGCGTCTATATGACAGTTGCACAAACATCTGCACACTCCATTTTCTGCATCTACAAAAAACATGTAGAAATATGACCAGGAAAGGTACTGTACATTTCCTATCCAATCAATCCAATTAAATTACACACCCATGTAGAGGGAATAAGTTAGTGAGTTTAGTTTTACGCCGCACTCACCAATATTCCAGCTATATGGCGGTGGTCTGTAAATAATCAAGTTTGGACCAGACAATCCAATGATCAACAGCATGAGCATCGATCTGCGCAGTTGGGATACGATGACATGTGTGAACCAAGTCAGCGAGCCTGACCACCCGATCCCGTTAGTTGCCTCTTTTGACAAGCATGGGTTACTGAAGATCAATTCTATCCCAGATCTTCACGGATCATGGAGTGAATGACTATAGTTATGATACATTTAATGCCAAATAACTATTAATCAAGAATACCACTTTCAGATGCTGGGCCCACAAAACCTGCATTCTCTAAATGATGACAGGTCGTGGACTAAGAGACTCGAGGTACATCACGGGATGACATGAAAGATTTCTATCACTGGGGCTGAAACGGTATACCGTGGTATTTTGTTTTCGGTTTGGTACACCAAAATTCACTTTGAAAATATGGATCGGTTTTCGTACCGAAAATATCATCTTACTCACCTTATGTACATTACTTTCGGAATGTCATCACAAAAATTCCATGTAATTTATTTCTAGATGACATCTTCATGTAGCTACCGTTTTAGACATTTCTGTGCCGAAGTGCTGTTGTCAACAACTCATACTAATTCGATTGGATGAACAAGTTTTTGTATAGGCACTTTCATTTGGGTCCCAATTCCAAGAATTCTCTGAAACTTCAATTTTTATTGGTAATGAACCGAACCGAAATGTATCGAACCGAGAGCTGTGTATCGCAACATGTACCGAACCGTGGCATGGGCATACCATTGCACCCCTATCTATCACATAAACCTATACCAGGTTATGCTTGCTCTCTTTCGATTCCATTATCTCAATGTGTCTTTGGATATAGCGGTGTTAGGAGCGCAATGTTTAGACTTCATGTTTGAAAGAGGATTTCACATATATAGCATAAGACAGAATAGATGCTAAGTATATATGCGTAAATTACGCAAATATTTATGTGAAAACTCAATTCCTATAAAGTCTATTGAGTACAAGTATGCTTGGATTTTGGTAAATACTCAATAAATGTGATCTTACATGCGTACACACAAACATATCAAATCTTAGCTTGCGTACCGATGGATAGATAAAATAACTGGTATACTGAAAGGTTCTATTTCAGGACATGAACTTGACAACTTGCAGTCTTTCTTATCAAATATAAATAACAAACACTAACATTTAAACTTTAATATATTTTTAAAATTAATGAAAAATGACAAAATACCAAATTGAGTTTGAGTGAGGTGAGTACAATTTATTTGGTTACTCAAGGAAAATTAGGATACCCAATTGAGATGAACACAATTGAGTACATAACTCAATGACCCAAAAAGTTATCTGTAGCTCTGTAGGATGAATTACGCCGAACAACCTTTATACAAGTCTACTGTATGAAAAACAGGAAGTTTCTACCAGCTGATCATATTGAAGGCAGGGCTCCAGATACATTTTCAACATCAGGAGTAGTACTCCTTATTTTTTCAATGCAGGAGTACTGGAAAAACTCAAGAGTACATTTAGAGTACTTAATGGAATTCAATGGAGTACCAGTAATCTTGTTTCATATCATATATACACAACAACATTGTTCCTCTTGTGTAAACAGGTCAATAAACAATAAAACAATACTTTTTCAGATAAATACGTCTGTAAATGATTCTAAGACCGTACACCATTGCTGTGGTGCGTATCTGCTACGTTTTCTAAATTATTTCCTACCGTATCGTGCTTATTTTATATCCATATATACGCCGATACGGCCCTTATCTGGAGCCAAGTGAAGGTTTATAATTGAGGATATGTTTGGTGAGATACGTTTTGACATAATAAATTTAGTGATTGTATACTGGGATCTTATCGCTAAAGTGAACACAACTCCAATATTTCAACATAGGTTTACAATCATTATAGCACTAAGGTTGACTTGTGTAACGACACCCTGATAATGTCACAAAGTCTGGAGTGGGCTGGGGTGATAATGTATTTCCAACAGAAGAAGACATCTCACCTTCTAAAACTTTCTGCTTTCTGGCTTCTTCTTGATCTCTCTTCTCTGCAAACATATGGACATGGATTGAACTTTCACTGGATCAGTCTATTGAGTGATTGTTTTATATAAATGCAAAGTTTCATTGAATACTGTAAAGTTTCATTTATTTCCTTTAATTTCCAAAAGAAAACAAGCTCAACACAGCAGAGACAAGACTCTCACTGTCTACTCATTAGTCTACTTGTCTATGAACCCACCAATATGGAAGAGACAAGAATTTCACTGCCTACTCATCAGTCCAGGACAGTAGGGTATAAGCCCAGTCTAGTAGTCTACTTCTCTGTCTACTCACCTTTCTCGGCCCTCTGCCAGGCTAGAGCTGAACACAGCAAGGCAAGACTCTTCCCACTTCCAGTTGGACTCTCCAGTAAACAGTTTTGTTGCCTCTCAAGACCCTTGATTATCTGACAACACAAACACAGAGAGACTGTGAGCCACTCACTAACATGGAGGCCCTGGTTTAACAAATTATAGATCCGACCAGCCCTTGTATCCATTAATGATGAGGGCCAGACAGGGACCAACAAGTACCATATTCAGAGCTCCAGATAAGATTTAGCTCATGTGGGTACTGTACCCACTGTATTTTTTTGGAGTGGGTATTATGAATGTTGTGTGGGTATTTCGTTTTCCGTTACCCACTGCTTTCAAATATGTGCGTATTTCAGTCATTTTACTCACCTAAGTATTATGTCATTGAGTAAGTTTGCTAAGCAGGTATGTTCTGCCTTATGTCATACCTAATCAAAACCAACTTAAATATAATGGAAATGATTTCATAAAAAATCACTCGTCCTATACTGACAGTACAACACTTGTCCTATACTAACAGTACAACTTGATAGCAATCGATATCTTTTTCATAACGCAAGCGATTTTTATAAATATATTCCGTATGCATTTGTTTTAAACTTTTTGCGTATCTAACATTTTAAATGCGTAATTGGTACGCAAGAATTATTTTTCAATGCGTAATTGGAGATTTTCTATGCGTATTTTACCCGGATACGCAGCTTATCTGGGCCTCTGATATTTTAACGTCTTTTGGTATGACTCGGTCGGGGATCGAACCTGCGACCTTCCACTCTCCGGGCAGACGCTCTAACTAGGCCCGTGAGAAAGCACACTGTCATTTCGAGTGTAATAATATGATCAGTGAAGTAGTTACCTTGTCCATCATACTGAACTGGGAAGGGTATGGCTTACAGGGGAACTGTACAGACAAGCCCCCAATCTTGTACTGCTGATGGCCTGGTAGTGTAGCCATTGTGCTGCAATGTTGTCTCTGAAAACATTACAACATTGTTCCGATGACTGAAGATTGACGTGTGTAGATGCAGTAACAACTTATTTCATAAACACATAAACATAATTTGGTGTACATTGTCAAATCATTACGACATATTAAAAACTATTTTATGATGTAGATTGTGCAAGTGTGAAGTTGTGTCTTGTTCTCTTTACCATCGGATAAAGTCAACAATATGAGTGATTGCCTTTAGATTCACTACAACGGAACTTTCTGCAAATAATGGAGGTCCCACGATTACATGCCCTAGCTCAAAATAGATGAGTGAGAGAGTTTAGTTTTACGCCGCACTCAGCAATATTCCAGCTATATGACGGCGGTCTGTAATAATCGAGTCTGGACCAGACAATCCAGTGATCAACAGCATGAGCAGCAGGACTCTTTGTTCTCAAGATCAGCATCTACTGGTACTGAGTGGTAGTTCCTCCGGCTCGCCTCTCTTCCTACGGAAAGAAATGTTTCAGCATGTTGCCCCACTCCTATGGAACTCTTTGCCACTCCACATAAAACTTTCTGCAACAACTGATTCTTTCAAGAAAAAATCTTAAGACTTTTTTCTTCACTAAAGCCTTGCAGTGACTCTTCATTTCTCCTTGAACATAGGTTTTCAGCGCCATGAGCATGCATTCATGGGTGGACACTGGAGCTTTATTATCTGCGCAACTGGGAACCGATGACATGTGTCAACCAAGTCAGCGAGCCTAACCACCTCGTTACTCGCCTCTTACGACAAGCATGGGTTACTGAAGGTCAATATTCTAACCCGGATCTGCACGTGTCGCTCAAAATAGGAATACTTCAGATAAACACCACAGCATATACTGTTAACACATGGTTAAGAAAAAAACATAATCTACTAGTATGTTGTAACGTGTAGTGATTTATTGCCAGAATATTTTTTTGGTGACAACCGATTCCAAACACAAAGAGATATAACCTATACACAGCTGATACATACCTAGTTCGTTTGAATAAGAGCTGTATATTTTAAGATTAAGAATGACGAATGAATATGCTCAACAAGCATATTATTTATTACACTGACATCTTGCATCAGCAACAAAATAAGCTTGTATGATTGTATATGACTTACATCACGTGATGAACATAATCCAAAGAGTATAGCGCTTTGTTGTAGCCTTTCGTTTCAAAATGCCATCTTCAAGGGTATATTCACAGCATTATTTGCGATTGACCGATCAGATTCATTTAGCGCCATTTACTCAAATATCAACTTCCGGGTCCGGTCGATACAAAATGTATTTCGGTTAAAACGAAACAAGGTAAAGCTAGGCATTTTGACAAGAATGAAAAGCGGAGACACAAAGATCGAAACAAAGATTCTTACAGCTATATTACCTAAATACATTCAATACATTACAAAACCACCTATTTTGTAACGGTCCGTAAACAAATATATCGGCAATTTCATATTATATATATGAGCATATAATATTTTCATATACAATACCAATAAATTTACCTTCCCCGAAATTCTGGTTTAACTGATTCAATCTAAACAACAATAAAAAACATTTCATACAATCTACATTAATTTGTCAAAAGTGCGCCAAATGGTCAGACATGGAATCGAACTCGTATGTTTGTGACAAAAGGAGAGAATATAAAAACCCTTCGAGAATTACCTACCTTAGACCGCACAGACCGAATTGCGTTGCGCGAGAATACACAAAGGCCTTGACATTTGCGGCAGTAAATATAGCAGCATATAGAAAAGCTGTCACGTTGATCCACAAATCAGAACGACGACGTTTTGTAAATGTTATGTTTGCATACTGTGTGACTTAAAGGAAGCAGACTTGAAAGTAATTCGTCAAGAAACAAAGACGATTATGTAACTGAATATATAGTGGTTCAATATGTTACATTTTGAAACCGAGTCTTAAATGCTATTTTTTCCACACATCAAAATTGTTTCATTTCATTCGTGAGCTTGCATCATCAACGAGTGAATACAAAGGCCATTTAGAAAGTGGTCAAATGTAACATATACTAGTAATAATGTTATATTTGGGATTACACTTTCTCAGTAAAGTACACAAAGTCCGTAGTCTAACTAGCGGTTGTCCGACTTCCATCTTTGTGCAAGCCGCGGTAGCTGAGTGAGTTAGACGGCTGCTGGCGATTAGGTGCCTGACTCTGAGGGTGTGCGTTCGAATCCCGGGTGGGACTCAACCTTTCATTATTACTACAAAGGTGTCAGAGAAGCACGTGCACAAGTGCCCACAAAGTTATTGATTCATTAACCTGTGCTGTGACGTATCCATCCGTTCTCGAACACCTGGCTGTCCCTTTCTCTGCACTCCTCCCTCGTAACAAATAGTGAACTGTGTCAATATTTTAATGATAGATAGTTAAACAACTTTCTTATTTTTTTAGGACAAAAATTCTGCAAAAACCTCACAGAGTGGGTATGATGTTTTGATTATGATCAGCGTTTCATTGAGTATTTTATGTTTATTAGTTTTCGAGTTAGATTGCAATTCATCGGTCCGCTTTTGAGCCAAACGGACAATAGTATATGTACTTTACCGAGAAAGTGGAATCCCAATATAACATATGTTTCTTCTTCAGCGAGGTGTAAGCATTTTCAAAAAAGTGACTGGTCCCACGAAATGTGTATTTGTGAGGGGCTTGTGGCCGTGCCTATCTCTGACATTACGATTAATATTTCAAGGATATCACCCACACAGTGTATATTGGATAAAAGTGGTGGGTGTGGTGATGGCAGTGGGTGACATGGACTACAATAGACGTGAGAGTATGTTAAGTTGAACATAAATAAGTGAGTTCCGTTTGACGTTTTATTTGTGTGTAAATAGTCGAGTCTGGACCAGACAATCCAGTGATCAACAACATATGCACCGATCTACGCAGTTGGGATACGATCAAGTCATCGAGCTTGACCACCCGATCCCGTCAGTCGCCTCTTATGACAAGCATGGGTTGGTGAATTAAGATCAATTCTAATCCGGATCTTCACGGCCCGTTTGATATGATTTTAAGAGGGGCTATCAGTTCCCTCACTGTGGCTCCCCCTCCCACGGGATGATACCCAAAAGGACGCACCCCCCTGGGTGAAACCCCGGACCACGAAACATTGCTGACACATCACAAATATGGTTCAGAACTCGAACCACAATCAGCGGATCCTGGCAGCTGAGAGACGACTGAAACCTACCGGGTACCCTGTACGCGAAGTAGGCCAAAAGAAAGCAGAAAGTTCTTGCTTAACGCATCAGCAAGTTTGTGAAAATTTTTGTTTTACAATATACTGAACACAATACAAGAGATTTTGATAATCACTAACACCTCAGTCAAATATCACATTCAAGGTTAAAAAACCGACTTTCAAAATCAAAACTATCCTTTTTCATTTAGATTAATTTTTCAAATACGCTAAACTGTAGTGACTAGAAAATGTTCTAACGCTCATTATCAATCAAACATTGTCTAATATGTCGAAAAATTCAACACATACAAGCAAAATTAAAGAAAGAAATTGAATACCGTATACCGGGAAATTTTCAAGGTACTAAAATTTCGAGGTTTGAGACCCCAGAGCTTTCGAGGTGATTTAAATTACGAGGTTTGGGGACCTATATAAATATTATAGACAATTTTAATTTCGAGGTTAGAAGAAAGTGGCCAGAAACATCACTTACCGGACCAATACACTGTGCTATCGGCAAAACTCCTAGTAGCCAGTGATAACTAGCTGCTGTCTGACTGTTAATAACAACCGGTAAACCAGTCCATGGCAGCAATAATAGTGATGACGTTTAGATCATACTCGAATGTGCAACCGTACTTTAGAATCAAGAAGCAAATATCAACTGAATCAGTCGATAAAAAAGCCCAAATACACTCCCACCTCCCAAAATAACAAACAAAGAACAAAAACAAAATACCCCACAAAATGCATGGTAATAGTGAAGAAGTGTGGGCACTTAATGGGGGATTCCAAAACAAAAAGTGCCCTGAACCAATGCTTCCCGCTTTTCAGAACAGATTATGGGAGATTGGGTGGATATAATGTCTGACTTTCATTGTAAAGACTCCATAACTGATTCCATAGTCTAGACGTTAAAGCAATATTAAATCCCTTATTTTTTCTCGTAAACGCAGTACCTGATGTTTATGGTTGGTTAAACCGAAGGCCGCGTGATACAGGGGATTAATTGGAACGATTCATAAAGAAGGAAATACAAAAAGATAATGAATTTCTTCGCACTCGACACATGTCATCAGTACTGCCGTCATCAAAGAACCCAAGACGCGGTTCCGTTAAAATGATATATGGTTTCTACAAAAAGTTGGAATGATGTTGACTGACAGGGGATTACCCGAATTGACGTGTATGGGACAAGTTTGTCTCAAATGAAAGAGCGGATTCTGGATATTATCATATAAAATCATAATAAAAGTAATCTTTTGGGTCATAAATAAATACCGCTTTTCATCCCCCGAATATAGTTGCCGGTTTTGAACTGAGTGTTTTTGAAGAAATACGCGAATGTGAAAGAACATAACGTGTTTACTTTCAGATAGCAGTTTAATCAACCCAAATGTAATTTTAGCCATTTTAGAAAATATTAAATTTGGGATTATCTTCAGCCTATGCAACAGCTGACGACACCACAACAGCTTAAACATGCACTTCATGAATGAAATTCGTGCTTTGATTACGTCCATGGAAAAATATCCATTGCAAGATGTTTCAATTTTTTATATTATCTTTTATAAGGTTCATAGTTTAAATTAAAAAAAAAAGATTATTTAGATATACATCTCCAAAAATATTTTTTCTCCATACGAACTCCCAACAACAGATCTCTGCACCCACCAGCAAAGCCACATGAATATTAAAAGTTTCGGTCCGTAAGAAAGGCATTAAGATGTTGACAAAGTAACAGTTTAATTTATAATTTAGTTTTTAAATCTAGTAATGCAAACGTATATTACGTCTGTCATAATTTGCTGTAGGTGTATATTTTGGTGGTCAAACTTATGTACATATATATATACCTGATCAAATATATGTTAACCGTTAGATAACATTATCTAATATGTGTTAACCGTTAGATAACACTATCCAAGATGTGTTAACAGTGAGATAACACTATCAAATATGTGTTAACCGTTAGATAACACTATCAAAAATAATGTTAGATAACCGTTACCGTTAGATAACACTATCCAATATGTTTACCGTTAACCGTTAGATAGATACACTATCCAATATGTGTTAACCGTTAGATAACACTATCCAATATGTGTTAACTGTTAGATTACACAATCCAATATGCGTTACAGTTAGATTACACAATCCAATATGAGTTACAGTTAGATTACACAATCCAGTATGCCTTAACCGTTAGATTACACAATCCAATATGTATTAACTGTTAGAATATACAATCCATTATGTGTTAACTGTTAGATAACGCAGTTCAATATATATTTACCGTTAGATAACACAATCAAATCTGTTTTAACGGATGCTTCACCTGAGGAACCGATACCCTCACTATTACGGCTTCAAACGCCAACAGGCATCGAGCCAGGAGACAGTGTGGACTGACAACTCCGCCATCATGGTCTCCGTGCCTATAGACCTTACATGGATATGACGTTGACGTGCCAACATCCACGTGCCAGATTGAGATGGACCAGAATGGTGCAACCTTGGCAGCAGCTAAACTGGCGAAGAGTGCTCTTTAGTGACGAGAGCAGGTTCCAGCTCTTCAAGTCTGACGGACAAATTAAGGTCTACCAGTGACGGGGCGAACGTACCGCACGTTGTTGTGTTCAAGAAGTGGTGCCTTTACGGAGCTGGAAGCGTTATAGTCCGGGGCGGCATGTATGGGGAGCAGAAGACGGATCTGGTCACCATCGACGGTAATCTGACCGCACGTCGCTACATCAACGAGATATTGCGGCCAGTGGGGCTGCCTTTTCCTTCCAACGAAACCCAAGGACTCTGCTTCAAGAAGACTCTGCTTCACAGCTCGTGTCAACATAGAGACTTTCTCAACACAAACAACGTTAACGTGACCAGCGACGTCGCCCGATCTGTCCCCAATTGAACTCCTTTGGGACCAACTGGGACGTCGTATTCGGAAACGCCAAAATCAGCCAATGACGAGGAACACTTTGGCAGTTGCCCTGATAGAGGAATGACGTCGGACCCCTAATCAAGACGTCAGAAGACTCACC